GCACCGAGACAGAAGTGCATTTTGAAAACCGCCATTGTGTACCTGTGAACAGCACTTTACAAACCGAGCCTGTTCAGTTTTAATGAGTTGAGCCGGGGGTAAGAGAGTGCCGGGAGTCGGTGTGGTGTACACATTTGACATGTTAAGTTGGCTGGTTGTTTGGTTGGTTGGTTGTTGCTTGGCTGGCTGTTCAACGCCACACTCAGCAATAACCCGGCTAGAAGCCGGCGGTATGGAAATAATCGAATCTGGACCAGACAATCCAGTGATCAACAGTATGAGCATCGATCTACGCAATTAGGATACGTTGACATGTGTCAACCAAGCCAGCGAGCCTGGCCACCTGATCCCGTTAGTCGCCTCTTACGACAAGCATGGGTTACTGAAGACCAGTTCTAACCCGGATCTTCACGGGCCTGACGTGTTGTCAACCCAGGGCCGTAGGGAGCCCAGGGGGGGCAGGGTGGGGGTGAGGGGGCAGCTGCCCCCCTAGAATCTTTTAGTGATATAACACTGTTTTAACGAGTTAACTCAGTGATTGATAGCATGAATGACCTCAAGTAGTCGGGGTAGAATGACGTATTGCGACCATTCGATTCTCATTTAACTTCTTTCACCAGTGGAGACTGTGCGATAGCCAACTGGTTTTTGCTCGTTACGCCGAAGTATTTTGAACTCTAGTTCTGGTGTCCCCAACTATGTTTACGTTTTTAAGGAATTGAGAGCTACTTGGACTTTCCCCTTAACTTATTACACGCCCTGTAAAGTGTTCCGATGATGCTTCAGATAACTAGCCATCAACAAGAACATTATTGTCATGTATAGTTTTCAAAGCATTGTTCCCGTCTATGATAGGAAACAAAGGCGTGTCCCATTTCATTCTCCTACTCGAGACAGCAATGCCGTTCTCGTGGGATAGCCTAGTGGTTAAAGCACAATTCACAGATTAACTGACTGACTGACTGAGTATGGTTTTACGCCGCTTTTAGCAATATTCCAGCAATATCACGGCGGGGGACACCAGAAATGGGCTTCACTCATTGTACCCATGTGGGGATTCGGACCCGGGTCTTCGGCGTGACGAGCCAACGCTTTAACCACTAGGCTACCCCACCGCCCCCACAGATTAACGCAAACATGTATTAACAAACAGCCAAACATAAACACAAACTGACACACAAACACACTAACAAATCAATACATTTTACAGCATTCATAAACGAGCACATTAATTACACATATATCAATACATAGACCCAGAAACATATTAATAATTTGATGTAGATAATATACTTCATGTCTATTATTCCACAGAGGGAACTGTGCTTCATTCTGTTTACATGAGGTTTTACAGTTGTCATGTTTATGAAATGAGTATCAATCAAAACTCACAATATATATGCGGTCAACCTAAGTGTGTTTGTGAGGGAAGGCTGACCTAGTCTATACGACTATACGTATGTTTCTTCAACACGGAGTCACTATTGTGATAAAGCACTTTATCCCTACGGCAGTCAGGCATGGATTGTCATGCTGGTATTCAGGAGGCTATAGTGTGTCTCTGAATAAAACACCTAAACCATGTCATGTATGTATGTCTATGGCAACGGTTGTAAGCTTTCTTATTTCAAAAACCGGCACAGATTGGTTTGGGACAAATGGGTTCCTAGAATTAAAATCCATTGATGTATTTATTGGTGTTATTTTCCCGAGTGTTTTTGCAAAAGTAAATCTAATGAATCAAAATGAAATTACTGACGGAAACTGTCGAATGAACGAATGTTTGATTCCAGCTACTTGGCGGCGGCCTGGAAATAATGTGGTATGGGCCAGACAATCCGGTGATAAACATCATGAGCATCGATATATGCACTTGGGATACGATGACAAGAGTCTCTCTCTCTCTCTCTCTCTCTCTCTCTCTCTCTCTCTCTCTCTCTCTCTCTCTCTCTCTCTCTCTCTCTCTCTCTCTCTCTCTCTCTCTCTCTCTCTCTCTCTCTCTCTCTCTCTCTCTCTCTCTCTCTCTCCAGATTCTCTTAATAATACTAATTTCGTCATAGATGACTAGTTTTGCGACGTGCTTAAAAATTGCGTAATACTGTACACTAAAAGTCGCCCGAGATCACGTCATGAATGATAATACACCATTATACAAGTGTTTCTAAACATCACGGATGGAGCTATTTGGGAATGGGGTTGTCACCCATATCGTGGCGGAGGTAACGCTATGCAACGTACTCAGTAACAGGTTTTCTACTCCTATGGCAGGAAAAACGAACAAATACCCACGGATTCTTACTGTGTATTACAGTGAGGAAATCACTTTGACTCAGATCTAGAAACGGTTAACACAGGTTGTTCACTACGACAGTTAAGGGCTGCACGACTGCTTGAAAATCATTGCCAGTCTCTCGCTTGAACGGGGCGTGGGTTAGCCTAGTGGTTAAAGCGTTCGCTCATCACGCCGAAGACCCGGGTTCGATTCCCCATATGGATACAATGTGTGAAGCCCATTTCTGGTGTACCCCCGCCGTGACATTGCTGGAATATTGCTAAAAGCGGCGTAAACCATTGTCACTCACTCACACTCGCTTGAACAGTGGGATAAGCGTGTGAAATGGGAGGGAATTTCCATAGCCCGTATGAAGTGATACTATACAAGCTTGGTCATTTATCAGACATTCCTGTATGAAATTTTGTTCTCTTTTCGTATTTTGACACGATAACTTTGTCAAAATATTTTTCAAAATGTTTTAAAGTAGTGCGTAAAGCCAGAGAAAGCTCTCTTTTTATCGGCTAATTCAGAGTTCCTGTTAGTCATTTCAAGTTCTGGGAAGGTTTGTCTGACGTGCCCGACACTGGGATATCTTCTCATCTACATGGTAGCGACAGATTTGGACGTGACTGAGGAAACGACGTCTTCATAGCCGGTAACTGATGTAATCGTGTATCCTAAATATGCTCATACCAATAATGGTTGTCACCCCCTTCATTCTTTTTAATTGGAGAGGGGGTGTGGGGGTTGGGGTGGGGAGGGGGGTGACAACCATTATTGGCATGAGTATAATTCGCTCAGACAGTGAACAAAGGGTAGAGCTTAGCCGTATGCTGACTCATCAAAATTCACAGTCAGTGGACAAATGACTCTGAGAATCGACTGTCACGCGGACTTGTCACGTACTGTTAAACCCGACCGCCGTTATGTGTGCACAACAGGGCAGTGCTTTCTCTCAAGCCTTTTCAACAGTAACCCACACCGGGTACTAAATGTGTCACTCGCCGCGTCAACGACAACGACACCGACACCGACACACCCACGCCCACACATCCCCATGCCCCCCACACACCCATGATCACGCCCACGCCCACGCCCACGCCCACGCCCACGCCCACAACCACAACCACACACCCACATCCAGTATATTTCATATATCGTTTAAAATCTAACACAAATATATACTGAGCACAACTAAATGTTAACCATACTGACTAAATGTCCTTAAATATTGCAAATGATATGTTTGAATGCCTGCAGATTGATGCTCAGATTGAAGATGAAATCCGCTGACTGAAACATTTGGACTGTGTACTATTTTCTGCTAACATAAACATGAAAAAGGAAAAAACGTCACAATCTGTGGTTGTTGTCTCATATCTGTCACGTGATACAACACGAAAATATTGTCATAAACCACTGTATTGATGTTTTTAAGTGTCATGGAAAAGACCTGTACACTGCATTAATGGCAATATGTGATAAAAATATCAGGAATTATATCACACATACACTAATGCCAATAATGGTTGTCACCCCCTTCAATTTTTAATTGAGAGGGGTGGGGTGGGTGGGAGGGGTGACAACCATTATTGGCATGAGTATATAAACAACCTTGACCAGCTTTCAACTGCTTGTTTTCATTCAAGAAAGACAACTCCGTTAATCCTTTTTCATTAGTTTATGAAGAGTTACCCCCCTTTATTTACTTGCTAGCAGTAGTTCATAACCAGACATAATTCCACTTCTTCTAGGCTAGGCGCCATTGCTCATCTCCTTTCTTTTGCTCTTTCACGCTCAAGGGGCTGACAGTACAGAGTTGCGTCCCTTGGGAACGTCAGCCGCCTATCACTATAGTTCGAATCCCGGTTCATGCTTCTAGATTTGTCGGCAGTACGCCATGCTCAAGGCTTTCACTAAAATGGTCAACGTCTGAGGCTACCCTAACGCTTAGTCTCTGATTATATTTCTTTGTGATAGAAACAAATAACTCAGAGTCTGTTTAATTTGACGAGGAACCACAGTTAGATGGGACATTGAAACTATAGACTCTTGTATGTAGTAAGGGCTGAGAGTAACGGAAAATGATATCGTTCATGGATTGCATAGCTTTGGCTTGAAACTTGCGCTTTGAGTACTCGTGCCACATTTTCATGACAAAAAACAACGATAAATCTTAAGCCAAACTGGGTTTACCACTTAAAATCACACAAATAGGTCTGAAAACATCGTTTTCAGTGCACTTTCTGAAAACAGAATTGGCAATTAGGCTTTGCACCATGAGGGCTTTGCACCATGAACTCCTCAGTCAGTCTGGATGCAGCCTCTCAAGTTGTCTTTCTTTCCTGGGGCTAGAAGCTCTGGGGCTGTGAGACAGGCTACCTTACATCGGTTAGACATTTAGCTGACAAGCTGTAATAAGTTTGGTTTGTTGTTTAAAGTGGCACTCAATGATATAATAATTGAGTATGGGCTAGACAATCCAGTGATCAACATCACGAGCATCGAGATACGATGACATGTGTCAGCCAAGTCAGCGACCCTGAACACCTGATCCCGTCAGTCGCCTCTTACGACAAGCTTAGGTTGCTGAAGACCACTTCTATCCCGGATCTTCCCTGGTCCGTGATTCAGCTGGGATGCTACTTACAACGCCGCTACACCCACCTCGTACATTGACTGTCAGATTTATACATGACATGTATCCAGAAACTGAGATACTTACATCAACTGTCTGCAGTATGTACCGTAGTAATATATAATGTGGTCGACCTGGAACATTTGGCGTAAACGTTATCGGCGGCGTTCAAAGCATCAGGATACGGCATCAAAAACTACCGACATCCTCAGCAACGTTGTCTGCTTCCTGCCACACTGTTCCCTTCGACAAAATACAATCTAGAATCCGGAAACACTGCGACATGGTGTTATCAACATGTAACAGGTGCTATATAGGGAAACGCTTCAGGACATTGCTAATACTCGTGTTTAGAATCACGACCGCATGCGACAACGGATGATCGTTCCCTGTACAATGTTGATAAGATCGTTCCGAACACCGGTTCGTAATACCCCGACTAAACGTTAAAATTGTCGCTGACGTGAGTCTGGTGTGGTTTACATGTGGGTGTTATTTTTAGATTCGTTTGAATGGTGTTGGGGATTACGCGTGACTTTGAGAACAATGGTAGTAAACGTCAGCCCTACATTGCGTTATACGAGACGCATAGCTTTCAACGTAACATTTATCCCGCTCTCTCAAAGGATGTTTACTATTAAGTTATTCGTAAATTATAAAGTTATTCGTACAGTTACAAGCTTAACCCAGTTAGCCGTAACGTTAGGCCCTCATCAGATCTCATGGTCAAATGCCCCTTTTTTGTTTCTTTGTTTTTAACGCTGCACTCAGCAATATTCCAGCTATATGGCGGCGGTCTGGAAATAATCGAGTCTGGTGCAGACAATCCAATGATCAACAGCATGAGCATCGATTTATGCATTTTGGATACGATGACATGTGTCAACCAAGTCAGCGAGCCTGACCACCCGATCCCGTTAGTCGCCTCTTACGGCAAGCATGGGTTACTGAAGACCAATTCAAACCCCGGATCTTCACGGGTCGGCCTGGACGAAGTCAGTTGATCAATGAAAATACATTGTTTTTCAAAAGATCATTGAAGATATATCGGTTATCAGCTGATCATTCAAGATATATCGGTTATCAGCTGATCATTCAGACAGACAGACAGACAGACAGAGACAGACAGAGTTTATTTCCAGTAAAAGGCCGTAGGCCCAAAATACATTCAAAAGGAAATTCCAGTGTAGTCAGGGGCACAATGATCATTCAAGTGTGTTTGTAATAATCTTTTTAACATAAAATAGATACAAGGCAACAGATTTTACAGTGTCTACATTAGTATTCTTGAAAAGATTTGCTAAAGAATATACAGTGTAAGGCTTTTTAACACATTTTGTAATAAACTTCTCTCTCTTAGTTGTGAATAGGATTCACAAATGAACAGTACATGAAATTCATCTTCAATATAGGTAAGACCTTTAGATTTACATGATGTACAAAATCTTTGATCATAATCAGTGTTGTTGTAACGCCCAGTTTCTACAGCTATTTTAAAATTACTACACCTAAATTGTGCTAAAACAGCTCTTAAATGTGTAGAAAGGTTAAACGATAAACAACGTTCAACATTTAATGCAGATTTAAAATACTGGTAATAGTTCCATTTGGGGAATTACACAGGGAAGAGTACCCGGACTGTTTTAAATTATCTGATAATCTTTGTTTAAATAAGCTTATAAACATCTTTACATCACCAACATCTTGGCTCAACCAAACATATCCAAAACCAAAATTAAAAAGAAGACTTTTAACTTTTGATGCCCATGTTGTTCTACCACTATCATCTAATGACTTAAGCATAAGGTAGCTTTGAAAAGGTAATCTGTCATGAGGAAGTTGTAACAATCAACACCAATATTTGATTACACGGGTCATATAATTAAACTACAGGGGCAATCTGCCACATTCACCCAGGGCCATGGAATTACAAGATGACCTATTTATTTTAAGATACTTTTTACAAAAATCAAGCTGTACCGATTTAATACTTTTACAATAAGAAGTTCCCCATATTTCTGAGCTATAGCATAATATTGGTGTGATCAATGCATCAAAACTTTTGAATAATTCTGTACAGTTAATGTTTCCGAATTTCTTTTGAAAGTGATTAACTGATAAAATTGCCTTTCTAGCCTCAGATGCTAAACACAATTTTGCCCTGGACCAAACAAGTTTTGGTGTAAATATAATGCCAAGATATTTATAAAATGATACTGTTTCTATTTGTTCCCCATTAAAATACCACTTTTCATAAGATCTAAGAGGCCCTCCATTTCTGAAAACACCACTTTTGTTTTCTTAAGGTTTACTTTCATTCCTGTTTCCTTGCAAATAAATTCAAGGGCATTTATCTTATTCTGCAATTGAATACTAGTGTCTGAAAGAGCCGAAACATCATCAGCAAACATAAGGGCATACACGTTATTGAAAACAGCAGTGATAAATATTCCCTTACCACCTTCACTTTGCATAATTGTGCATAAATGATTAATAAATATTATAAATATCTGAGGGCTTAAAATGCATCCCTGGCGGGTACCCACATTACAAGAAAATTGTTTAGAAAGTCCCTCAGGAGTTCTAACACAGACACAAAGTGAATTATACATACATGTGATAATATCTAAGAACTCCCCATCTAATCCAACCTTATGAAGAGAATCTATAAGTATATCATGTTTAAGAGTATCGAAAGCTTTTGAAAAATCGATAAAAAGACAATAAATGTGCCGTAATTTTACATGAATATTTCTGTATGACAGCCTGAAGTGTAAAAATGTGGTCTGTTGCAGAATAGTTTTCCCTGAAGCCAGCCTGATATTAACAAATGATATTATTTAAATCACACCAGATTTTTAATCTTTTATTAAGAATTGATGTAAATAATTTACAAAGTGAATCAATGAGGGATATACCTCGATAATTATCAGGGTCGTTCTTGTCGCCAGATTTCAACAAAGGGCAAATTATGCTCTTACCCCAACTGGGAGGGAAATAGCCAGAGTCATAAATTTTGTTAAAAAGAACAGTGAGAGTAGGGACAATGAAACTTCTCGACTCCTTTAAAAATTCATTAGCAATTCCGCCTGGTCCAGGAGCTTTACGATTTGGCAAAGAGAGGATTGTTGTAGATATTTCTTGTTCGGAAAATGGTTGGTTAAAAAAAGAATCAGTGTTGCTTGTAGAATGTAAAGGTGAAGGTAAATGCTCTGGCCCCGATTTCTCGAAACAAACTTAAGTCTGTTTTCTGACTTAAGTTTGAGTTTTTACTCAAATTTGAGAAAACTCAGCAAAATGCATTTCTCAAACAAAACTGAGTTTGTTTTTCGACTCAACTTGAGTTAAAAACTCAAAATATTTGAGTCTGCTAGGTAGGTAACTTAAGTCATTATTTGAGATGAAAATGGCGTATAGGAGAAGGCAACAACGCCGTCGGAGAAACAAGTCTAGAGTGGCGAGAGGGTTAATCGACCGTAGCAACCCTCTTGAAACCATGTCTGAGGAATCGGTGTTTGCCCGATATCGTTTCCGACCTGAAACGATCCTGTTCATAGTGTCCCTGGTAGCTGGCCAGCTGAGGAGAGAGACCGCTAGGAGCTGCCCCCTGCCTCCTCTCACGCAGGTGCTCGTCTCTCTCCGGTTTCTGGCGACCGGTGGGTTTTGTTCCCTGATTGCCGATACGTACCGCAGCATTTCCGCATCGTCTGTGTATCGGTCAATCAGGGACTTCTGCGGAGCTTTGGTTCCCCTGGCACAGCGCTACATTAAGATGCCCGTGGACACGGACTCATGCAAGTCCATGTTTTACAAGATTGCAGGTAAACATCTTTATTTTTCTTAGCCAGTAAATATCAAAACCACGGTTAAGAATCCTTACCGGATGTTATGTAAAGGGAGATCAATCCAAATGCTGTTTCAAAATATAAAAGTTGAACTGCGAAGCGGAATAAAGAAATCACCTCTTAAATCTATAAACATTGCAAAGATATTGCCTATGGTATTGTTATCATTTCAGTCTTAAATTTAGATAATTGTTTACACCTTGTAGGGTTTCCAAACGTATTGGGTTGTGTTGACGGCACGTTCATAAGGATCATTGCCCCAAATAAAGCTGAAGGTGACTATGTGAACAGAAAGGGATTTCATTCACTCAATGTTCAGGTGAGTTCATGTGTTAAAATTCTTCAAGTTAAAAACATATTCCATACTGAAAATTGTTCATATTCCTAGAACCGAATATTAAAAATAAATTGTAATGAATTTGTATTAAAATTAATTCATGATTATTTTATCGTAATTTTTCACATCATAGTAAATGAAAACTAATTTTGATTATCAAAAATAATCATTAGTTTACTTTTACTACATGTTATGGAATTAACATTCAACCCAAATATTACATTTACTCAACAAATTATTATTTTCTTGTGGCAGATGATCTGTGATGCACAGTTTAGAGTTACCAACTGTGTGGCTAAATGGCCTGGAAGTGTGCATGACAGTAGAATGTTCCGGGACAGTCAAATCAGTGTGGCATTCGAAAATGGTATGTATAAACTTTGCTTATATTGATATTTATGTTACTGTTCTATTAATCATGTCAATCCAGGATATGACACTGCATAATGTATCATCACACCTCTAGTATTAAGAGTGATGAGAATACATTTAATAATTTCATGTGAATGCCATTGTGAATGTACTCATATAACAGGGGTATCTCGTGAAGATTTAGTACTGACGAATACTTGTGAAGGGTTTAGAGATTTATTGTCTGGGATTTGATGATCCCTCACAGTGGATCTTGTGACAAAACCCTTGAAACAAAACATAAACAAATTACTGGTGTACAGCAACAAGTATCTTTAAGTAAACATACAATTACATTTAACATTTTCTGAACACAACAAGGCTTACTTAATATATGTCTATATCTAAGCAAATATCACAAATTGTAGTCATACAGATGAAAATCTAAGAATAAAATTAACCTCGTCTCAGAGACGCAGGTACTCCACAGTGATAAGCCACCAGTGGCCAATGAGTGTATTTAATACCTAATCATAACATAACACAATGAAATACAATATATATTACACACACACACACAGTGTTTCTCATACCAACAATAATATGCACCTAACATATGCACTACAGTCCACATAACCTAACATGTCATAGGATTATGTACATAATAATCCAACAACTCACACAAGACTTAGTGTAACTACCCAATAACACTAAATACTAATTAAATCATATTTAACTATTTGATATAGAATTATAATGATTACCCAGCTATACTAAAACACCATATCCTAACCTCCTTTCCAGTTCATTGTACATACATTCTCCAGCCTATGACTTAATCAAATTGACATCATATACAAATAACAAGCAAAGAATACTTGACATTTGTAATTTGTCATTTCTATTTCAGGTACTTACAAGGGTTTACTTCTGGGAGACTCTGGCTACCCATGCAAGTCCTACCTAATGACACCGTATCTATCTCCAGCAAACAGGGCTCAAGAAAAATTCAACAGAAGTCAAACGAAAACCAGAGTTCTTATTGAGCAAACATTCGGAATCCTTAAGCGCAGATTTTCTTGTCTGCACAGTGGTTTGCGCATGTCACCCAAGAGTGCATGTAACGTAATTGTTACAAGTGTAATATTACATAATATCGGCATTGACCGCCAAGATGTAATTAATGTTGATTACGATGATTGTAATGATGATAAATTCACTCTCCAAGTTGCTGATGATCTGAGTGGAACAAATGTTAGAAATTATCTTTGTCAGTCATACTTCACCTGAATATTGTACAAATTATCTTCAAATGATGATTTCTTATATAACATAATGAACAAACAAATTTTCATTGTGTGAAATATTCCATGTACAAATATGCTAGTTGGATTCTATGTAATCACAAATCACTGCTCATTTTGACATTTCAGCTTCATTATTTCCAATTGAAATTTTTCTTTTTTCAGTTCTTCCACCTCAGCCTTAATTCTGAAAAAATGGCTTCTTGCTTTAACTTTTCACATTCTGCAATGTATTTGTCTCTTTCTGCTTGGAGAACAGACACTTCATCATCGAGTAACTTTCTTTTCTTGCTCAATTTCGTTGTTGTTGTTGTGGAGGGGATGTGCAGCATACCCTGATTGTCAATGAGGACATCAACAGGCAAGGTGTGATCTGGAACAAATATGACAAATTTGGAATTTGTTTTTGATGATTGACAGGTATACTATCTACAAGTACTGTAGACCAGACATTGCCTATTTATCTAAAAAAGAGTACACATTTTGACATTATATCCTCAATCTTTAAGCATGCAGAGCCTGTTGATCTATTTAGACTTCCAAACTTAAAAGATATCAAAGAATGTAAACAATTTGGATGTCTACTGGTATTTTTGGAAAAATCTTTTTTTAATGATATGAAATAGAGTGCTTTTTGTGCACATATGTTAAGATTTTTATACTCACTGGGAATACATTCCTGACTGACAGGTAGGTGAGCTTCACCTTCGGGCAGACTCCCCTCCATCGCCATGGAGTTGATCACACTACTGAAATCTGTAACAGATACAACTCAACAAGTTGGTGATCTGCCTAATCCTCAGGCAATTTATTTATGGGCTCATATGATTTTAATATAACTACTCAGATTTGACTTCAAAACTTAAAAATTATTTATCAGCCTTCATGTGTACTAATTAAGGGCACAAGAGCACACTTTCCGAAATGCAATTGGCTATATTAGTGCATTTATACCCACTTTAGATTGCTTTTGATGCAATAATAGACTTATTATTCATTTCGACTTCCCTATAATCGATATTTGATAAAATGAGATGACCAAAATCACAAGATATAAATTCAGCACAATGTGACACTCGGTCATGCACAAAATGGAGAAAAATTTAATTAATGAGAATGGCAACTCTTGATATTACTGCAAATTTTTAAGGCAAGGCGTATGGTCAATTGTGCGTATGAAACCTTTTTTTCCAAACAATTAAAACGTTATGACCTTGAATTTTAAAGTGTTCCATTATGTTAAAATAGCATCACTTACCTTCGGAGTCAAAGCCATCTACCAGGCCTTGTAGATTAGGCCTGTCAGCTAAGTCCTCTAGGACCATAGCCTCTGGTAGAGAGGGTGAGGGGGGCTTCGGTCCACCACCTGTCTTCGGCCGGCGTATCGCGTCTGCTTTGTCCTTTGCTATGAAGAATACAATATATTGATATGTTTCTGAAATAGCATAAGAATCTTACAAAACACTGTCATATTGGCATTTATGACTATATTACATTTACATTTCGAAAAATCTACTAGCTATGAATTGCCAAAGACATAAAACCAAATCATAATAGGAATTTCAAAATTAAATTACCTACTATGAATCACTTTTTGTAATAAGTACATATCATTAACATACATATTCATGACAAGTCAAGTATCATTCACTTCATTCATTATTTGTATATTAAATTTATTAATATTTGTAATTATATTGTGTATGGGCCTTCAGTCTGTACTTGAAATTGTTATACAAGGCAGTGAACGTATGTCTTCTATTAATTGTTATTTTCCAATCAGTCACTTTCCCTTTTGCAATTATGATTGTTTATTGAATACTTTTTCTTACCTCTCTGCTTTATATTAGCGTATTGCTTCTTCACCTCCTCCACAGTTCTTTTTACAAAATTGGATTTCCTGGAACAACAATATTATAATATGAAGAATTTTCACTTATGCTTAAATTATTGTCACTCATTTAATATTTACAAGTGTCCATCTGTTCTATTTCTTTGGTCATTTTCTGAACATAGTTATTTTTTATTTGGATTATTGAGACAGTCTAATAGACATTTTCTTGGATATTTTGAATTCCTTATGTGGTAGAGTTGAATAAAAAAGAGGATTTGAAATATTGTTGTAATGTTGTGATTTTCATTTTTTTATACTATATATTTTTTTAAATCTAGACAATAATCATATTCAGTACACAAATAAATTTAAAAGAATTCATCATAATCAAATGTAACTAGATAAACATTGATCAGAGAATTATAATGACTAAATATTTGCCTCCAACATTTTATTCAAAATATATTATCTAGATCTAGCATAAGGAGATATAAAAATCTTTTTACTACGTTCCCAGGCCTGTAAAATAAGTTAATATGACGTCATCTTTACAAATTCTGTAACAGATAAACCAGACTGATCCTTTCAATGTCAAGCACCGTCAAAAACTTGATATTCATGTCACTTCACTGTGCATATTTATGAAAAGAATTTCCTTATTGGCCAGGATATGATTTAAGAGTATGTTTATATCCGTGAATGATGAAAACGTAGGAGGTGATCGAAAATCGGACTCGACAGTGAGTAAGCGATCGGCATCTAACCATGCCAAGTTTCTATATCCATTTGTTTTGTTCGATATAAACAACCTGACTGCAACTTTTATTTTTAGGTTGTGTTGATCGTGAATCATAAATTCAAGGCTACATTCTGAAATCTATCATATTCAACTTACATGTTGAGAGTTTCGGCTATCTCCATCCAGGCTTGCTCCTTCATCTTAGTCCCTTTGATGGAGCCACACCCCTTAAACTTAGATGACAGCCGATCCAATCTTTTACTGACTTCCTCCACTAAAGATGTTTTTTCTTCCTCCGACCAATTTGGTCGCCGCTTGCCCTCAACCTTTGATGTATACATGGCTTCACGACAAGCGAGCAGATAGCAGACGATGTTGTTGTCATTAGAAACGGAAGTTACGGGCACTTCATGCCGCTTACAACATGGACAAAAAATACTCAGCGAGATCTCAAATCAAAACTCAGTTGAGTTTGAGTTGAGATTGTTTTGAGAAACGGAAAATTTGAGAAAACTCAACTGAGTCAAAATCTCAAACTCAGTTTGTAATTTGAGTACAAACTTAAGTCTGTTTTCAGACTTAAGTCTGAGTTTTTACTCAAATTTGAGAAAACTCAGCAAAATGCATTTCTCAAACAAAACTGAGTTTGTTTTTCGACTCAACTTGAGTTAAAAACTCAAAATATTTGAGTCTGCTAGGTAGGTCACATGCAACCAAAAATCAAACATAATTAAAACACAATTATCACTTATTCATGACATATAATATACATTGCTGGTTACGAAAAAATATATAAACAAAATTATAAGCGTACAATCGCAAATCGAAAGTGCAAAATTGTGTACTTCGGTTTACTTCCCAAGAAACGAAGAAGCCGGGATACCGAACCCAGTCAGAGCGGGTGGGTGTTCACTCAAGTGTAACGGCTGGTTCATTTGCAGATGCCTTCACGGCTAATTGTGTGTATATATAGAGAGAGATGTTGGGCTTTGTAAATACATGCTCATTTTTTGTGTATAACATTTTGCAATCAACAGACATCATAACATGTCATGTGTTCAAGTATCACACCTGCCTGTCTGTGTAAATACCTAATGTGACAGAGACCGAACTCGGGCCATAAATCAATGCAATTTGTTTATGGTGTATAGCCTGATTGGTGTTAAGTTCAAATTGCATGTGGTCAGTGATAGCAGCTGTGTATTGAATATTCTCATTAGCAGACAGGCAGGCAGACACGTAGGTGTCAATAAAACAAGACATTGAGTTTTGCCTGTGACAACGACATATCTATATCACAGTTAGACATTCTGTCAACGCTAAATAACGACATTGCTTTTAAGTATCGAACTGAGAAAGTGTCTCGGTAAGAAGAACGTGTGGTAAAATAGACAAATGAAATTATATAAACAGTTAATTTACTGTCATAACATATAAAAAGCTCGCGCCTGTGAGATATCAACAAAACATTAGAAAAATAGCTCACACCAAAGCCTTCACCGAGTATTCACCCGACAACCCGCTTCCAAGCTGCGCGAACCTATTTACTTGCGCACGTGCTATGGGCGCAGCCCAGCTGTTGAAACCCGTTTTCCCCAGAAAAGTCTGGGGAAAATTAGTGAAACGTTTGAACTCCGATTTCGCGCGTTTTTTTCCATCGCGTTATTTTTCAACTTTATAAGTTGAATTTGCATTTTTGACGATTTGTTTCGGTATGTCCATACCGAAAGGTATCAGAATCTGCAAAGTTGTGTTTTACGTTGCATGTGACCTTTAAGTCATTATTTGAGATGAAAATGGCGTATAGGAGAAGGCAACAACGCCGTCGGAGAAACAAGTCTAGAGTGGCGAGAGGGTTAATCGACCGTAGCAACCCTCTTGAAACCATGTCTGAGGAATCGGTGTTTGCCCGCTATCGTTTCCGACCTGAAACGATCCTGTTTATAGTGTCGTTGGTCGCTGGCCAGCTGAGAGAGAGACCGCTAGGAGCTGCCCCCTGCCTCCTCTCACGCAGGTGCTCGTCTCTCTCCGGTTTCTGGCGACCGGTGGGTTTTGTTCCCTGATTGCCGATACGTACCGTAGCATTTCCGCATCGTCGGTGTATCGGTCAATCAGGGACTTTTGCGGAGCTTTGGTTCCCCTGGCACAGCGCTACATTAAGATGCCCGTGGACACGGACTCATGCAAGTCCATGTTTTACAAGATTGCAGGTAAACATCTTTATTTTTCTTAGCCAGTAAATATCAAAACCACGGTTAAGAATCCTTACCGGATGTTATGTAAAGGGAGATCAATCCAAATGCTGTTTCAAAATATAAAAGTTGAACTGCGAAGCGGAATAAAAAAATCACCTCTTAAATCTATAAACATTGCAAAGATATTGCCTATGGTATTGTTATCATTTCAGTCTTAAATTTAGATAATTGTTTACACCTTGTAGGGTTTCCAAACGTATTGGGATGTGTTGATGGCACGTTCATAAGGATCATTGCCCCAAATAAAGCTGAAGGTGACTATGTGAACAGAAAGGGATTTCATTCACTCAATGTTCAGGTGAGTTCATGTGTTAAAATTCTTCAAGTTAAAAACATATTCCATACTGAAAATTGTTCATATTCCAAGAACCGAATATTAAAAATAAATTGTAATGAATGTGTATTAAAATTAATTCATGATTATTTTATTGTAATTTTTCACATCATAGTAAATGAAAACTAATTTTGATTATCAAATATAATCATTAGTTTACTTTTACTACATGTTATGGAATTAACATTCAACCCAAATATTACATTTACTCAACAAATTGTTATTTTCTTGTGGCAGATGATCTGTGATGCACAGTTTAGAGTTACCAACTGTGTGGCTAAATGGCCTGGAAGTGTGCATGACAGTAGAATTTTCCGGGACAGTCAAATCAGTGTGGCATTCGAAAATGGTATGTATAAACTTTGCTTATATTGATAGTTATGTTACTGTTCTATTAATCATATCAATCCAGGATATGACACTGCATAATGTATCATCACACCTCTAGTATTAACAGCGATGAGAATACATTTAATAATTTCATGTGAATGCCATTGTGAATGTACTCATATAACAGGGGTATCTCGTGAAGATTTAGTAATGACGAATACTTGTGAAGGGTTTAGAGATTTATTGTCTGGGATTTGATGACCCCTTACAGTGGATCTTGTGACAAAACCCTTGAAACAAAACATAAACAAATTACTGGTGTACAGCAAAAAGTATCTTTAAGTAAACATACAATTACATTTAACATTTTCTGAACACAACAAGGCTTACTTAATATATATATACATCTCAGCACATATCACAAATTGTAGTCATACAGATGAAAATCTAAGAATAAAATTAACCTCGTCTCAGAGACGCAGGTACTCCACAGTGATAAGCCACCAGTGGCCAATGAGTGTATTTAATACCTAATCATAACATAACACAATGAAATACAATATATATTACACACACACACACAGTGTTTCTCATACCAACAATAATATGCACCTAACATATGCACTACAGTCCACATAACCTAACATGTCATAGGATTATGTACTTAATAATCCAACAACTCACACAAGACTTAGTGTAACTACCCAATAACACTAAATACTAATTAAATCATATTTAACTATTTGATATAGAATTATAATGATTACCCAGCTATACTAAAACACCATATCCTTACCTCATTTCCAGTTCATTGTACATACATTCTCCAGCCTATGACTTAATCCAATTGACATCATATACAAATAACAAGCAAAGAATACTTGACATTTGTAATTTGTCATTTCTTTTTTCAGGTACTTACAAGGGTTTACTTCTGGGAGACTCTGGCTACCCATGCAAGTCCTACCTAATGACACCGTATCTATCTCCAGCAAACAGGGCTCAAGAAAAATTCAACAGAAGTCAAACGAAAACCAGAGTTCTTATTGAGCAAACATTCGGAATCCTTAAGCGCAGATTTTCTTGTCTGCACAGTGGTTTGCGCATGTCACCCAAGAGTGCATGTAACGTAATTGTTACAAGTGTAATATTACATAATATCGGCATTGACCGCCAAGATGTAATTAATGTTGATTACGATGATTGTAATGATGATAAATTCACTCTCCAAGTTGCTGATGATCTGAGTGGAACAAATGTTAGAAATTATCTTTGTCAGTCATACTTCACCTGAATATTGTACAAATTATCTTCAAATGATGATTTGTTACATAACATAATGAACAAACAAATTTTCATTGTGTGAAATATTCCATGTACAAATATGCTAGTAGGATTCTATGTAGATCCCAAATCACTGCTCATTTTGACATTTCAGCTTCATTATTTCCAATTGTAATTTTTCTTTTTTCAGTTCTTCCACCTCAGCCTTAATTCTGAAAAAAATGGCTTCTTGCTTTAACTTTTCACATTCTGCAATGTATTTGTCTCTTTCTGCTTGGAGAACAGACACTTCATCATCGATTAACTTTCTTTTCTTGCTCACTTTCGTTGTTGTTGTTGTGGAGGGGATGTGCAGCATACCCTGGTTGTCAATAAGGACATCAACAGGCAAGGTGTGATCTGGAACAAATATGACAAATTTGGAATTTGTTTTTGATGATTGACATGTATACTATCTACAAGTACTGTAGACCAGACATTGCCTATTTATCTAAAAAAGAGTACACATTTTGACATTATATCCTCAATCTTTAAGCATGCAGAGCCTGTTGATCTATTTACACTTCCAAACTTAAAAGATATCAAAGAATGTAAACAATTTGGATGTCTACTGGTATTTTTGGAAAAATTCTTTTTTTAATGATATTAAATAGAGTGATTTTTGTGCACATATACTAAGTTTTTTATACTCACTGGGAATACATTCCTGACTGACAGGTAGGTGAGCTTCACCTTCGGGCAGACTCCCCTCCATCGCCATGGAGTTGATCACACTACTGAAATCTGTAACAGATACAACTCAACAAGTTGGTGATCTGCCTAATCCTCAGGCAATTTATTTATGGGCTTCATATGATTTTAATATAACTACTCAGATTTGACTTCAAAACTTAAAAATTATTTATCAGCCTTCATGTGTACTAATTAAGGGCACAAGAGCACAATTTCCGAAATGCAATTGGCTATATTAGTGCTTTAGATTGCTTTTGATGCAATAATAGACTTATTATTCATTGCGACTTCCCTATAATCGATATTTGATAAAATGAGATGACCAAAATCACAAGATATAAATTCAGCACAATGTGACACTCGGTCATGCACAAAATGGAGAAAAATTTAATTAATGAGAATGGCAACTCTTGATATTACTGCAAATTTTTAAGGCAAGGCGTATGGTCAATTGTGCGTATGAAACAGTTAAATCGTTATGACCTTGAATTTTAAAGTGTTCTATTATGTTAAAATAGCATCACTTACCTTCCGTGTCAAAGCCATCTACCAGGCCTTGTAGGGTAGGCCTGTCAGCTAAGTCCTCTAGGACCATAGCCTCTGGTAGAGAGGGTGAGGGGGGCTTCGGTCCACCACCTGTCTTCGGCCGGCGTATCGCGTCTGCTTTGTCCTTTGCTATGAAGAATACAATATATTGATATGTTTCTGAAATAGCATAAGAATCTTACAAAACACTGTCATATTGGCATTTATGACTATATTACATTTACATTTCGAAAAATCTACTAGCTATGAATTGCCAAAGACATAAAACCAAATCATAATAGGAATTTTAAAAATTAAATTACCTACTATGAATCACTTTTGTAATAAGTACATATCATTAACATACATATTCATGACAAGTCAAGTATCATTCACTTCATTCATTATTTGTATATTAAATTTATTAATATTTGTAATTATATTGTGTATGGGCCTTCAGTCTGTGCTTGAAATTGTTATACAGGGCAGTGAAGGTATGTCTTCTATTAATTGTTATTTTCCAATCAGTCACTTTCCCTTTTGCAATTATGATTGTTTATTGAATACTTTTTCTTACCTCTCTGCTTTATATTAGCGTATTGCTTCTTCACCTCCTCCACAGTTCATTTTACAAAATTGGATTTCCTGGAACAACAATATTATGATATGAAGAATTTTCACTTTTGCTTAAATTATTGTCACTCATTTACTATTTACAAGTGTCCATCTGTTCTATTTCTTTGGTCATTTTCTGAACATAGTTATTTTTTATTTGGATTATTGAGACAGTCTAATAGACATTTTCTTGGATATTTTGAATTCCTTATGTGGTAGAGTTGAATAAAAAAGAGGATTTGAAATATTGTTGTAATGTTGTGATTTTCATTTTCTTATACTATATATTTTTTTTAAATCTCGACAATAATCATATTCAGTACACAAATAAATTTAAAAGAATTCATCATGATCAAATGTAACTAGATAAACATTGATCAGAGAATTATAATGACTAAATATTTGCCTCCAACATTTTATTCAAAATATATTATCTAGATCTAGCACAAGGAGATATAAAAATCTCTTTACTACGTTCCCAGGCCTGTAAAATAAGTTAATACGACGTCATCTTTACAAATTCTGTAACAGATAAACCAGACTGATCCTTTCAATGTCAAGCACCGTCAAAAACTTGATATTCATGTCACTTCACTGTGCATATTTATGAAAAGAATTTCCTTATTAGCCAGGATACGATTTAAGAGTATGTTTATATCCGTGAATGATGAAAACGTAGGAGTTGTAGGTGATCGAAAATCGGACTCGACAGTGAGTAAGCGATCGGCATCTAACCATGCCAAGTTTCTATATCCATTTGTTTTGTTCGATATAAACAACCTGACTGCAACTTTTATCAGAAAGTATTTTTAGGTTGTGTTGATCGTGAATCATAAATTCAAGGCTACATTCTGAAATCTATCATATTCAACTTACATGTTGAGAGTTTCGGCTATCTCCATCCAGGCTTGCTCCTTCATCTTAGTCCCTTTGATGGAGCCACACCCCTTGAACTTAGATGACAGACGATCCAATCTTTTACTGACTTCCTCCACTAAAGATGTTTTTTCTTCCTCCGACCAATTTGGTCGCCGCTTGCCCTCAACCTTTGATGTATACATGGCTTCACGACAAGCGAGCAGATAGCAGACGATGTTGTTGTCATTAGAAACGGAAGTTACGGGCACTTCATGCCGCTTACAACATGGACAAAAAATACTCAGCGAGATCTCAAATCAAAACTCAGTTGAGTTTGAGTTGAGATTGTTTTGAGAAACGGAAAATTTGAGAAAACTCAACTGAGTCAAAATCTCAAACTGGTGTGTTTTGAGGAGTTTTAATGCACAACAGATCTGAGAAGTGATCTGTCCACTGTTAGCATGAGATATTGGATGAAAGTTGTGGTGAAGATCTGCATTTTTTAAGTGTTTTCCAAAATAATTTAGGGTTAGTGCTTGCTGCTACTAGTTCATCTTTCTGTTTATTTTGGAAATGTAATTATCTTTTTTGCTTAAATGTACATTTGAAGAGTGCTCGTAACTGTCTGAAGATATCAAAGTCTGCACTGTGATCTCTATGGGCTCTGAGTGCTGCATATTTGTCATGCTTTAAGTTTTCTAATTCCTGATCCCACCAAGGTGGTTGAGTTCTATTTGTGAAGGAAATGAACCATTATATATGTTTTTTGTGTGATCAGCTGCTTTCTGAAAAAGAGTTATAGTCCAGGAGGAGGCAGCTGAAAAATTTCAAATCGTAGCCTCCCCAGTACTGATTTTGTTTGACACTATTTTCAGTTAATATGGTGTCTTGGGCTCATGAAAAGGCCTGTAATACTCTCAGATTGTGGTATCAGGTTTTTTCTACAGGCCATTATATGTGGTGAGGGTCTGGGGGCATTTTCGTCACATTTGGTTTGCTGCCCGACAACACCCCAAAGTCAATCATTAATAGTTTTACTACTATCAATCTGATCACTTTCATTTTGACTTCTGTGTACTGCTAAAGGATGTAGAAATTATTTGACATAATTTTGTTTTGAAAAAAAAATCAAAATGGCCACTATTATGGCCGCCATTTTGTTTTGTCGTGTTTTGCCTTCTCAGCACTTAAATCTACATAAAAATGAACACCGAATGTTTCCATTTACATCCAAAGTTGATACTTTTGATGTGTTTTGACACTTGTTTCTCCTAGAGTGATGGTTTTGGCACAAAACAAGTCATTTTGTATGGTCATATCGTGGTAATTTAATGTTTTACAGCTTATTCTTTGAGACAGGGGTATTTTAGCGATTCTCCGACTTTTCATGGAAATGTGTGAGGGTGATTTATTTAATGGCAGATAACATTATTTTTGTTACTAAAACAAGTTGTTTTTGTTTTCTCTTTACTTCTAGAGTGACGGCATGTTATTCAGAATGTTTACATATTAACCAGAATTCAAAATGGCCGCCATTGTAGTTTAACTACATATACTTAGTGGAGGACTAAATTTGTACTCATATAAAATCTAAACAAGTCATTTGGTGTCTAATGTTTACTACAGTATAGGAATAGAGCTAAATTTCAATGATAGGGTCAATCAAAGCTTCACATTTGATGAAATAACATTATCCAAAAGTGTTTGAAAACTATGCTTCATGGCCGATAACTACGTCTAAGCTTTGGTTGTAGGTATTCAAATTGTTCTATCAGATAATTCTTAATCACTTTTGATACATCCATAAGCTTGCAATTAACCCTCCTTTTCACTTTCTTTCATTTCATATGTTACATCATGTCTCAATCGGACCTGTAGAGATCCGGGTTAGAATTGATCTTCAATAACCCATGCTGTTTTCATCCTTGTACCACATGTATTTTGTCCATTTATCCTGTTTACCCTCTTGTGTATTACTGTTAGAGGTGAGCATGGTAGAATGAGCGGTGGAGGGGAGTTTACTGTTATGTGTGTTGATATTGAGTGTACATGACAGTGCAAAGTGACATGAGTTATCTAGTGTTCCGACGTTAAACTGCGTCATGAAGGGATCATTCAAGATATATCGGTTTCCAGGTGATCATTCAAGAAATATCGGTTTCCAGGTGATCATTCAAGATATATCGGTTATAATATTATTACTGCAGACACAAAGGTTAGCTGATCACTGCAGACACAAAGGTTATCAGCTGACGTACCACTGCGGACACAAAGGTTATCAGCTGACGTACCACTGCGGACACAAAGGTTATCAGCTGACGTACCACTGCGGACACAAATGTTATCAGCTGACGTACCACTGCGGACACAAAGGTTATCAGCGGACGTACCACTGCGGACACAAATGTTATCAGCTGACGTACCACTGCGGACACAAAGGTTATCAGCTGACGTACCACTGCGGACACAAAGGCAGCTGACGTACCACTGCGGACACAAAGGTTATCAGCTGACGTACCACTGCGGACACAAAGGTTAAGCGGACGTTGCAGACACAAAGGTTATCAGCTGACGTACCACTGCGGACACAAAGGTTATCAGCTGACGTACCACTGCGGACACAAAGGTTATCATCAGCGGACGTACCACTGCGGACACAAGGTTATCAGCTGACGTACCACTGCGGACACAAAGGTTATCAGCTGACGTACCACTGCGGACACAAAGGTTATCAGCTGACGTACCACTGCGGACACAAAGGTTATCAGCTGACGTACCACTGCGGACACTATCAGCTGCGTACCACACAAAGGTTATCAGCTGACGTACCACTGCGGACACAAAGGTTATCAGCTGACGTACCACTGCGGACACAAAGGTTATCAGCTGACGTACCACTGCGGACACAAAGGTTATCAGCTGACGTACCACTGCGGACACAAAGGTTATCAGCTGACGTACCACTGCAGACACTAAGGTTATCAGCTGACGTACCACTGCAGACACAATTTCGGAATATCCGGAAAACACCGGTTATCGACTGAGCCCTACTTGTCTACAATCATCAAAACAACTGAATCACGGATGTTACTGAAGTGTCCCACCCTTTCCCTGTATACCAACTCAGTGCGCAATTACCAACTCGCCACTGATCTGAAACATCACTATAACACACACCGCCAGCATTCCACCAGGCTGTAGACTTATATATATCGGCTTTCAATAGCCTCATGTAACCATGCACACAAACTGAACAGTATTCCCAAATAGGATCAAATGCGTCATTTTATTGTAGTCTCACAAACAATGAATAGCGTCGTTTCGAAAAAGAATGTGCAATCTCTAGAATGTTTAATAAGTTACCTTATTGAGTCCCTATTGTGTGAGGGGTAGCCCAGCGGTTAAAGCGTTCGCTCGTTATGCCGAAGACCCGGGTTCGATTCTCCACATGGGTACAATGTGTGAAGCACATTTCTGGTGTCCCCCTAAAAGCGGCGTAAAACTAAACTCATTCACTTACCCTATTGTGTGAACCTATCTGATACAGTATCTCATATGCCTGTAATGGCTTAATAGACAGACCGCTATCGGAGATAAACATACATTACTAGACTAACGCTTAGTCCCTGAATATATATAATTTTGATAGTAACAAATAAACCCTTTTTAATTTAAAAGGAGCCCCAGTGAGATGGGAGATTCAGCCCGAACCTGGAAAAATCTAGACTTGCTTCATCTAGTGCTTTAGCATTGCAGGGAAGGCTAGGCATTAGGGACGATGTGGTTCGGGGACTGTAATACATTACTATAACAGCATTGCGTTTAAATAGGGTAATCATAAACTTATCACAATCTATTTTGAACTGTGTTCGAATCCAAGCCTTAATATGGATTCCTAGATGTATTTTATCATATCCCAGTGGCGCAAGTTGATGCTCAGGATGACAGTCATTGAACTGTCTGGTCCAGACTCGATTATTTAAAGATCGGTTGGAAATTGCTGAGAGCGACGTCAAATAAACAAAAATCCTAAGTGGTGTCTTTAATTGGCTTTCAAATACAATGGCCTCCCGACATTTAACCCATACACAATGAATATATACATACAACATTAATATACAGTTTACTCGATAATACCCAAGATTATGAAACATGCTTGATTCAAACCAGCACCATGACACTGGTGGAGCGATGGGACAACTGATTTGACGACACTGTTCGATTTTGATATGGAGTAATTCATGCTACGAATGTGACACCATTGTTTTTTCAAAGAACATCCGGGTCCTTTCTGGAAGGATGAAGATTGCTGGTGAATTTCAACTGAGGAAGACGGCGTTGGAACGTTTTTCGCTTCTCTAGTTATGGTCAGTGGGACCCGCCACTAGATCAAAACGACGTCTCCTTCGTTTGCGTCTTCTGAAAAAAGAGAATAATGTATCTCACGCTGGCACAATGCTGAAGGCTTGATTTCTCTACAGTTGACTCAACACAGGTGTCTATTCTTTACTTAGGAAATTGTATATATTTTGTACAGATTTTGTCTTCGATTATCGATATGTTTTTGAGACTTTTGGATTAAATTTTTCCTGCTGAAGAAATAAATATCATGTGATTTGAAACAATAACATTTGTTTTTCTTTCAGGCCATCGACGTCAGTTTATCGATTGCAAACGATAGTTAAAGGAAACATAAGATGCATGGAAGGTTACAACAAACTAGAACGTACCCATGTATACAGGAAGCGTATAACGTATTCATTGGATTACACACACAAAAGTGTTTATTCGACCTTGTCAAATCACCCGAATATACAGAAATTAATCTTACTACAGAGAAAGACTCAGGTGTTGTCAGGTACACAGAAGGACGTGTACACTCCGCCTCGTCAGGTACACAGAAGGACGTGTTTAGTCGGGTCAGGTACACAGAAGGACGTGTTTACTCGGCGTTGTCAGGTACACAGAAGGACGTGTACACTCCGCCTCGTCAGGTACACAGAAGGACGTGTACACTCCGCCTCGTCAGGTACACAGAAGGACGTGTTACACTCGGCCTCGTCAGGTACACAGAAGGACGTGTTTACTCGGCCTTGTCAGGTACACAGAAGGACGTGTTTACTCGGCCTTGTCAGGTACACAGAAGGACGTGTACTCCGGCCTTGTCTACCAGAAGGACGTGTACCCTCCGCCTCGTCAGGTACACAGAAGGACGTGTTTACTCAGCCTTGTCAGGTACACAGTAAGACGTGTTTACTCGGCCTCGTCAGGTACACAGAAGGACGTGTTTAGTCGGCCTCGTCAGGTACACAGAAGGAGGTACACAGAAGGACGTGTTTAGTCGGCCTTGTCAGGTACACAGAAGGACGTGTTTAGTCGGTTTCAGGTACACAGAAGGACGGCCTCGTCAGGTACACAGAAGGACGTGTTTAGTCGGCCTTGTCAGGTACACAGAAGGACGTGTTTACTCGGCCTTGTCAGGTACACAGAAGGACGTGTTTACTCGGCCTTGTCAGGTACACAGAAGGACGTGTTTACTCGGCCTTGTCAGGTACACAGAAGGACGTGTTTACCCGGCCTCGTCAGGTACACCGTTAATCGTGGTCTACTTACCCAAGTATAAGTATACCGAAAAATGTGATGAGGGATGCAACCGCGAGGGTTCCTATGGTTACGGCGATTATTACTTGGGTATTCGTTGACATCAGAGAACCGTCTGTATAAGGAAGGGTGGATAAAAGTAATTAACTCTCTCTTAACTGGAACACTATAGCCAGTACACACTTAGTATGAATAACATGAAACGATAATATGAATAACATGAAACGATAATATGAATAACAAGAAACTATATGTATGAATTACAATAAATATGAATAACAAGAAACGATGAATAAGAATAACAAAAAACGATATTTACGAATACCAGGAATATGTATACATGTGTATATTCAAAAGACTACCCATCATATAGCATCTGTCATGTTATAAAATGATATTAACTTGTACAGAGATCTCAAAATGGTCATTCACTCTAATAGGTGTTCTTTGAATATGTACTTTAGAGAGTTTGACACTAGTTCCACCTCAAGACGATCTGTATTAATTTAATATTTTGAACCTATATACAATACTCCTATCAGTCATACCTGACTTTGACTGGCCGACTGCATTCGCAAAGTTTGATTCTGCAGTCAGGGAAGTTGTAGTTGCAGTCGGGGTAGGTGTAGTTGCTGTCGGTGTAGTTGTAGTTGTAGTCAGGGTAGTTGTAGTTGCAACCGCTGTAGTTGTAGTTGCAGTCGGGGTAGTTGTAGTTGCAGTCGCTGTAGTTGTAGTTGCAATCGGGGTAGTTGCAGTTGCAATCGGGGTAGTTGTAGTTGCAGTCGATTCCGTTGTAAAAGCTTTTGGCACAGCTGTCGACGAATTAGTTATCTATTATAGTGCATGCACACAACACATTTTCTACAACAAAAGGAAGCAGCGACGGGATGTGGAGACACCGACATATGGGGAGGGGCCAGAGAGAAAGAGAGAGAGAAATATGATAGAGATGGAAAGAGAGGTAATAAGAAGAAGAATATTTATAACGCGCCTATCCAGGCTTGATATCCTGCTCAAAGCGCACAAGTTGAGTACATAGCTGGGAACTAATGGTTGGCTGGTTTAAAGAAGTGTTTGCAGGAGAGATTTCAATGTCTAGAAGTCGGAACTTGATCGGATGGATTGAGGGAGGTCATTTCATACTTTTACTGCAGCATAAGAGAAGGCACGATGTCCATATTTAGCTTGTTTGACTTTGGGGATAACAAGAAGACGCTGATTCTCTGATCTCAGAGAAGATAAAAATGGAGAGAGAAGGGGCAAAGGGGTAGAAAGATACAGGGGTAGAAAGGGAGAGGATGGTTGATTTGTTGATAGAGCAGGGTAGACAGAGGCCCAGAGAAGAGAGAAAGAAAAAGAATAGAGAGCGGGGTAGACACAGTTTGCTATATTGTATGGTCTCTCTGTTTGTAGACAGATCACGATAACTAATGTTGAGGTAAAGACGTTCCTTTAATTTCCGAAAGTGACAAAGTTTAGGTTTAGTACCGATTTACGTTTCTTTTCAATATTCCTATCATAAAGACATTCCTGTTGAAACAATCGATATATTGGAATGTACATGTATTCCAAATTATATTTTTGAAAAATATTCTTGAAAGGAAAGATTCTACTTCATTAAACAACCTGTGTGTTTAAATTAATTTTGAATATTGATAGAAGTGTATGTAAACAATCATACCTGACTTCCCAGGAATAGCTGTAAACTTCGAGTAGTTAGGTTCTGTAGTCGGGGTGGTTGGTTCTGTAGTCGGGGTGGTTGGTTCTGTAGTCGGGGTGGTTGGTTCTGTAGTCGGGGTGGTAGGTTCTGTAGTGGAGGTGGTTGTAATTGCATTCAGTTCCGTTGTAACTGCTTCAGACACAGCTGTCAAAAATGTTGCGGTTATTAGAAAGGGGTAAGATGACCCAGTTACCAGTGTACGAGGGCTGTCCCAATTGTTTCCGGCCTCCTAAACTAATATGCGATCTATATGAAAATTGTTGTACTTATTTTTCAACATAATCCGTCTTCACTTCAATGAAGTTTCTCTTGCATAGTTAACCCGTCTGAAATTGAAAACCATTGTTTGTCACGTGACCCTAAAGTCTCCTCCACAGCAGTGATGACCCCTCATCCGTCTCAAATTTGCGGCCCCCGAGGACAGATTCATGCTGAGGGAAGAGGAAGAAGACAGGAGGGACAAGATCTGGAGAATAGGCTGGGTGAGGAAGGATCTTGAAGCCACAGTCCGGTCCTGAACTCACTGCTACTTGGGCCGTGTGAACTGGAGCATTGTCCTGGAGGAGTCAGACACCTCGGTGAAGTTTACCTTTTCTCTCATCTGATCTGATCACGCAACCTACGCAATTCCTCAGCGTAATGTGACAATTTATTGTTGAACCCTTCTTTAAATAGTCCATCATGATTACGCCCTCAGAGTCCCAGAAAACGGACATTGCCACTGGAAGACGATTTTTGTAAATTTTGGGGGCGTTGGTGACGTCACGTGCTTCCACTGCATACTCTGACTTTTTGTCTCTGGGTCAAAGTGATGAATTCAGGTTTCATCCTGAGTACAATATGACCCATGTGGATCTCTCCGATAGTCCTCGAGAATCTGACGACAAACCATGACTCTCTGACGTCTGTGTTCTTCAGATAACATTCCGGGCACCCAACGGGCAGACTCCTTGTCCATATGCAAATGTTCATGGTTTGTTCTTTCCATTGATGTTTTGCTAATGTCATGTGCAGTAGTTAATTGGTTAATTATTTGGTCGAGAACAGCATCAATTTTATCTTCGGTAGTCACTTTACGAGGGCGACCAGACCGGGGCTCGTCTTCAGTGCTGCGCCTGCCCTGCGCCTGTACATTCAGTATACCACTGTTTCACCGAACTACATTTGTCACTTATGTTTGTTTCATCTCATTATGAATTTGCTTCGGGGTAAACTTATTTAAACGAAAATACTTCATCACAGCCCTGCATTGGGTTCTCTACATTTTGAGAGCAAACGATAGGGTAATGCTGTTTGACAGCTATATATAGCAAATTATAGCACGTGGAATTCGTGTTTTGCGTGTCAAGCACATGCTAAGATTCTATTCTCCAGTTTTGGTGAGTTTGTGCGATCTGTTCATGGTGAGGCCGGAAACTTTTGTGACACCTACTGGTAATGATATGGAATCACTCGATGCATGAACAACCAGAGGGACAGAGAGGGAGGTGGGGATAGAGAAATGGGAAGAGGTGGGAGGCGAGGCGAGTAACATACATGACAGTGACATGGAGAGCTGGACAGTGAGAGGTGCGAAGGGTAGATAAATGGAGATCGGTGCAAAGAGCGACGGGGTAGATAAATGGAGAGAGGTGCAAAGAGCGAGGGGGTAGATAAATGGAGAGAGGTGCAAAGAGCGACGGGGTAGATAAATGGAGAGAGGTACAAAGAGCAAGGGGGTAGAGAAATGGAGAGAGGTGCAAAGAGCGACGGGGTAGATAAATGGAGAGAGGTGCAAGAGCGAGGGGTAGATAAATGGAGAGGGTGCAAAGAGCGACGGGTAGATAAATGGAGAGAGGTGCAAAGAGCGAGGGGTAGATGGAGAGGTGCAAAGAGCGACGGGGTAGATAAATGGAGAGGGTACAAAGAGAGGGGTAGAAATGGAGAAGGTGCAAAGAGCGACGGGGAGATAAAGGCAAAGAGCGAGGGGGTAGATAAAAAGGGTGCAAAGAGCGCGACAAAGAGCGACGGGTAGATAAATGGAGAGAGGTGCAACGAGCGAGGGGGCAGATAAATGGAGAGAGGTGCAAAGAGCGACGGGGTAGATAAATGGAGAGAGGTGCAAAGAGCGAGGGGGTAGATAAATGGAGAGGGGTGCAAAGAGCGACGGGGTAGATAAATGGAGAGAAGTGCAAAGAGCGAGGGGGTAGAGAAATGGAGAGAAGTGCAAAGAGTGAGGAGGTGACATTTAGAAACAGGGAAGGGAGAGGGAGAAAAAGGAGGTGAGAGAGAGAGACAGAGAAACTGACAAAGACAGATTGTTAATATCATATGGCGACTCCGTTTGGAGACAGAGGTCAAGGAAATGTATTATGTTGATGTAAAGTCCTCCTTCAATTCTTACAAAGAGAAAGATATTGGCTTTGAGGCAATCTTTATGTTGCTTTTTAATTATTATCCTTACCCGTCATGCACTTCTGTTGACACAACGTAAAACTTGCTTCGTCTGTTTGGTGTGTTACTTATATAAAATATGCCATGCTACAATATATTTATGTGTAAGTGAGTTTCAAAATTGCGATTCACAACCTCGTTATTGGTATGTTTGAAAACTGTTTTTCACAGAAGAGTGCAAGTTAGAAATACAGTCTACTTCAACAGCCAGTCCGTTTCAGTGTTTTCACTGAAGATAAACTGTATAAACAATCCTACCTGACTTTGGACGAGTCCCTGGAACCGTAATGTTGTTTGGTTCTGCAGTCGACGTGGTTGAGGTTGCATTCGGTTCCGTTGTAACGGCTGCAGACACAGTTGTCGAAGGTGTTGCTGCTGTTACAAAGAGGTAAGAAAACATAGATTTAACAATATAGAGTCACCTCTATTGATAAGCCTTAGGGATATTTCCAATTAAAACTTCCTTTTAGGCTGCTTATAATCATAACCAAATAACCAAATAGTGCTAACATTAAAACAAACATTCAAAAACAAACAAACCAAATACAAACCAAACCATCCAGTAGTTCATCAAACCAACAACATCTGGCAAATTTCGAAATTAAAAACTCACAAAAAGTTAATTATGCAACTCTAACGCCCCCTTCAGGTTGCTATATCTTTCGGCCAAATCAACCCCCTTTCCATCAAACACTAGATAGCCTGCAGGCCCGTGTGCGATATATGCATTATGTCAGAAAGCGTATGTTAAATCTCCGAATCATCATCACTGGGAAAAGACTATAGGGGAGACAGAAACTTAGGTACGTGTGTAGGTAGTGAGATTTAAAAAGAAAGAGGCTACACTGTTTATAAACAGAGTGAATATGGTTTTACGCCGATTTTAGCAATACTCCAGCAATATCACCGCAGGGGACACCAGAAATAGACAAAGTAGCGTTAGGTAAAGGGAGAGAACGTGTGTAGGAAGTGTGAAATATAGTAGGGAGAGAAATAAAAAGGAAGAGGCTACGCTGTTTATAAACAGAGTGAACATGGTTTTACACTTAGCAATATTCCAGCAATATCACGGCGGGGGACACCAGAAATTGGCTTCAAACATTGTACCGATGTGGGGAATCGATGACAAATTTTGGCTCTGACACTATTTCATTTTGTTTTCAATGTCAAAATCGTTATACACTACCTTGTAATAGTTATATTTTTGAAAAATATTTAAAAAGAAGAAAGTAAGTTTGAACAGTGTTCTACTACAACAGCAAATCTGCTTAAAAGTTATGAATTTTGAAACCATATACCTGACTTTGAATGAGTCGCTGTGGTCATCAAGTAATTTGGTTTTGCAGTCGAGGTGGTTGGTTCTGCAGTCGAGGTGGTTTTGTTTGCAGTCGAGGTGGTTGGTTCTACAGTCGAGGTGGTTGTAGCAGCATTCCGTTCCGTGCTAACTGCTTCAGACGCAGCTGTGTGGGCAGCTGTTGTGGCTGTGGCAGAGGTTATATGCGGTTATTTGCAATAATATGGGGTCACACGATAGGGTGCAGAGAAGGATACTGGGGAGAAAGAGCGAAAGGGAGAGGTGGGACACGGAGGTGGAGAAGGGAGGGGCACAGGGAGGGAGAGGTGGGGCACAGGGAAATGGGACACTGGAGAGGGAGGGGCACAGGGAGGGAGAGGTTGGACACTGAAATGGAGAGGGAGGGGCACAGGGAGTGAGAGGTGGGACACTGAAATGGAGAGGGAGGGGCACAGGGGAGGAGAGGTGGGACACTGAAATGGAGAGGGAGGGGCACAGGGAGGGAGAGGTGGGACACTGAAATGGAGAGGGAGGGGCACAGGGAGGGAGACGTGGGACACTGAAATGGAGATGGGAGGGGCACAGGGAGGGAGACGTGGGACACTGAAATGGAGAGGGAGGGGCACAGGGAGGGAGAGGTGGGACACTGAAATGGAGAGGGAAGGGGCACAGGAAGGGAGACGTGTGACACTGAAATGGAGGGGAAGGGGCACAGGGAGGGAGAGGTGGAACACTGGAGTGGAGGGAGGGGGGGGGGCACAGGAAGGAGGAGGTGGAACACGGAGTGGAGAGGGAGGGACACAGGGAGGGAGAGGTGGGGCACTGAAATGGAGAGGGGAGGGGCACAGGGAGGGAGAGGTTGGACACTGAAATGGAGAGGGGAGGGGCACAGGGAGGGAGAGGTGGGACCCGAGAGAGAGGAAAGGAGAAACTGGCTACTCGATGTCTGAACACTGATAAGGACAACTTGTGGTAATGTAAATACCTTCCTTCATTTCTTCACTTTGGCAGCTTTTTATGTTTATTTTTAATATTCTTACCTGTAATGCGCTCCCTCCTAAAGAACGTACAACTAGCATCTTCTGTTAGCTTTGAGTCGGTCGCGTACAAGTAACACGAGTATTCTCCGGAGCAGAATGCGCCCGCCATTGCCGTGTCATATTTCTGAAGGACAGCCTTACAGGCATTGAGATCAGCCACTACCCTGTACCCCACCACGTCGTCGGGGGATCCCTTCCAACCCTTCTTAATATTTGTTGCACCTGCAACAGAGGAGGTGTAATATGTTGTTACTGGAGCCGTCTCAAGGCGGGACCCAACCAATAATGACCTCACAAATGAACCCGGTGTAATACGAAGCCATCACAATTCTGCCCAGGCCAGATCAGCCACACTCTTTCGTGACTGATCATTACACCATTGCGATATAGTTCAGACATGTTACAGTAGATAGAAAATCCTCTTGTGACTAGAGGACAAAAATTTACTGTAAATCATTATGGGGTCACTCGGACCGATAATATTTCTGAAACAATTATGATCCCTTATAAATTAAGGATCCATGTTGTGAACAAAACAAATTGTTACTGGTAGTGTTATGTGCGCTTCGAACACTTCTACTGTTGCTGTTGGCGCGTGTGGCCCAGTCGTGCAAGGCCCTGAAATTCGACGTGTAGAGTTACCTCCCTTCACGTCAAGAACCTGTGATTGTGGGTTTCATTTAATTGCTTGGTTTGTTGTTCAACACCGCACTCAGCAATATTCCAGCTATATGGCGGTGGTCTGTGAATAATCGAATCTGGACCAGACAATCCAGTTATCAACAGCATGAGCATCGATTTATGCAATTGGGATTCGATGGCATGTGTCAACCAATTCAGCGAGCCTGACCACCCGATCCCGTTAGTCGCCTCTTACGACAAGCATGGGTTGTTGAAGATCAATTCTAACCCGGATCTTCACGGGTTGATTGTGGGTTCGATCCTGGTTCGCCCTGTCTCCGGGTTTGTCAGCACCAAACCCTGGCTCGTTGCTTTCATAGTGATGGGCGTCTGCAACCTTTATGACTTCCCACTTTAAGTTGAGTGAGTGAGTTTAGTTGTACGCCGCACTCGGCAATATTCCTGCTATATAGCGGCACGTTTAGTTGACAAGCCGTGAATGTTACTAGAATATTGTTTAAAACGGCGTTAAAGCAGTACATGTAAGTTATTTACCATATTTAATGACGAGCCTTGCATAGTCAACTGACGGATGTAGTCCAATATTCCTTCTTTCTGGTTAACAGAACTACTAAATATTCTTTACGTCAAGTTTAACAGTTTGTACGAAATAATGAATATTTGATTACCTTTTGACACCAGAACGAGATTTGCAAGGTGAACGATATGAAGCAAAAGTCGGGGACCCATGTATGTAAGATCCTAAAACAGAAACACTGCATAGATCCAAAGTGCACTCAGAGTTACTCATGGTCCACCCCATGCAATCCCCTCATTTCTCCACCTCAATCTTCTCTCCATCACAACTCCCTTCACCACTTCCTCATCTCCCCACATCAACCCATCCTCAATCACATGACTTCCCTCACAGCACACTCAATCACACACTTCTACCCCTCACAATCCCCTCAGTCACACACCTCCACCACGCACAATCAATTCAATCACACACCCCCACCCCCACCCCTCACAATTCACTCAATCACACACTTCTATCCCTCACAATCCTCTCAGTCACACACCTCCATTCCTCACAAACCACTCAATCACACAACTCACAATTTCCTGAATCACACACCTCTACCCCTCACAATCCCCTCAATCACACACCTCTACCCCTCACAATCCTCACAATCCCCTCAATCACACACCTCCACCCCTCACAACCCCCTCAATCACACCCCTCACACCCCTCAACACACCTCCACCCTCACATTCCCTCAATCACAAACCTCCCCCCCTCACATTTCCCCTCAATCACACACCTCTACCACTCACAATCCCCTCAATAACACACCTCTACCCCTCATAAACCACTCAATCACACACCTCCACTCCTCACAATCCCCTCAATCACAAACCTTCACCCCTCACAATCCCCTCAATCACAAACCTCAACCCCTCACAATCCCCTCAATCACACACCTCTACCCCTCACAATCCCCTCAATCACACACCTCTACCCCTCACAATCCCCTCAATCACACACCTCCACCCCTCACAATCCCCTCAATCACACACCTCCACCCTCACAATCCCCTCAATCACACACCTCCACCCTCACAACCCCTCAATCACACCCCTCACAATCCCTCAATCACACACCTCCACCCCTCACAATCCCTCAATCACAAACCTACACCCCTCACATTTTCCCCTCAATCACACACCTCTACCTCCCCCTCACAAACCCCTCAATCACACACCTCCACCTCTCACAATCCCTCAATCACACACCTCAACCCTCACAATCCCCTCAATCACACACCTCCACCCCTCACAAACCACCCCAATCACAAAACTCCCTCCCTCACAATCCCTCAATCCCACCCCCTCCACCAATCACAACCTCCTCAATCACAAATCCCACACCCCCACACCCCTCACACACGTCACTCAATCACACACCTCTACCCCTCACAATCCCCTCAATCACACACCTCTCCCTCCTCACAATCCCCCTCTAACTCATGGTCCACCCCATGCAATCCCCTCATTTCCTCCACCCTCAATCTCCTTTCTCCATCACAACTCCCTTCACCACTTCCCCTCATCTCCCCACATCAACCCATGATCCCCTCAATCACATGACCTCCACCTCACAGTACACTCAATCACACACCTTCCACCCTCACATTCCACTCAATCACACACTTCTACCCCTCACAATCCCCTCAGTCACACACCTCCACCACGCACAATCCCTTCAATCACACCCCCACCCCTTACAATCACTCAATCACATACTTCTATCCCTCACAATCCTCTCCGTCATGCACCTCCATCCCTCACAAACCAATCAATCACACACCTCCACAATCCCTCCATCACAACCTCCTCCCTCACAATCCCTCATCACACACCCTCCCCTCACAATCCCTCAATCACACACCTCCACCCCTCACAATCCCTCCAATCACACACCTCCACCCTCTCACACCCCTCAATCACACCCTCCACCCCTCACACATTCCCTCAATCACACACCTCCACCCTCACATTTCCCTCAATCACACACCTCTACCACTCACAATTCCCTCAATCACACACCTCTACCCTCATAAACCACTCAGTCACACACCTCCACCCCTCACAATACCCCTCAATCACAAACCCCTCACCCTCACAATCCCCTCAATCACAAACCTCCACCCCTCACAATCCCTCAATCACACACCTCTACCCCTCACAATCCCCCTCAATCACACACCTACCCCTCACAATCCCTTCAATCACACACCTCCACCCCTCACAATCCCCTCAATCACACACCTCCACCCCTCACAATCCCCTCAATCACACACCTCCACCCCTCACAATCCCCTCAATCACACACCTCACAATCCCCTCAATCACACACCTCCACCCCTCACAATTCCCTCAATCACAAACCTCCACCCCTCACATTTTCCCTCAATCACACACCTCTACCCTCACAATCCCTCAATCACAAACCTCCACTCCCTCACAATCCCCTCAATCACACAGCTTCAGCCCCTCACCCCTGTCTACAACCCTCAATCACACCCTCCACCTCTACTTCCTCACATCCACCAATCCTGGGCCAACACTCCACCCCCTCACATTTTCCCTCAATCACACACCTCCACCCCTCACAATCCCTCAATCACACACCTCCACACCACGCACAATCCCCTTCAATCACACACCCCCACACCCCCACCCCTCACCCCCTCAATCACCACACCTCTACCCTCACAATCCTCCTCAAGCTCACACACCTCCATCCCTCACAGCTCACACATGGTCCACCCTTGCAATCCCTCTATTTCTCACCACCACCTTTCTCCCATCACAACCCTTCACCACCTCACTCCTCATCCCCCACATCAACCCATCTCAATCACATGACCCTTCACAGTACACCCAATCACACACCTTACCCCCTCACCCCACCTAATCACACACCTCTCACTCCCCTCACATCCCCTCAGTCACACACCTCCACTCACCCACAACTCCTTTCCCAATCACACACCTCACCCCTACAATCCCTCAATCACATACTCTCTATCCTCACAATTCCTCTCATTGCACCCCTCTATCCCCTCAATCAAACTACCTCCACCCTCAACTTCCCATCCTCTACACCCTCGCACAACTTTGCTAATCACACCCTCCACCCCCACAACCCAATCACACACCTCTCACCTCATTATTCCCTTCATCTCACACACCTCCACTCTTTCACATCCTCTAATCACGAACCCCACTCCTCATAATCCTCTTCAGTCACACTCCACTCATTGCACAATCCTTCTCAATTGCACACCTCCCTCACTTTACATCTACTCATTAATCACATACTTTCTATCCTTCATAATCTCTTTCTCTGTTTGCACCTCCATCCCTACAAACTAATTCACACCATATTAACTTTAATCTCCTCTATCACAATTTATACCTCTAATCACTCATCCCAGCACCACCTCTCCCACTTTCACTAATCCTTTAATCACACACTCTCCACTACTGCACACCCCTCAATCACCACCTCTCACTTTGCATCTACTAATAATCCACAGCATTTTCGACTTCACACCTTCTTCTCATGTAATCTCCTCTATCTCACAAACTAACCAATCACACAACTTATACCCCTCTGACACACAATTTGTATTTCTTGCTAATCTCTAATCACACCTCACACTCCACTTCATAACTTCTTTAATCACACCTCCCACTCCTCATTAATCCCTTTAATCACAAACCTAACTTCATTAATCCTCACCACACTTTACTACCTCAAGACCCCTTCAATCATAACACCCACTTCATTCCCTTTAATCACAAACTTCCACACTTTCATAATCTCTTTAATCATTGAATCTTCCACTTCATAATCCTTTTTCTAGTCATTAAACCACTCACCTCATAATCCTCTTTACACTTCACACTTCTAATTTCACATTCTCCTCTTCATATCTCTTTAATCACACCTTTAACTTTCATACATCTTGCCACATCTCCTCTACCTTCATCATCCTTTAATCCTACACCTCTTCACTTTGACTTCCACTCCATATCACACACTTCCACTTTGTAATCCTACACTTCCAATCCTCATAGTCCTCATCCACACTCCCCACCTCAGACTTTCTGATCCCACACTTTCTACCTTTTATCTCTTTAATTCTAATTTCCACTTTTAATCTCTTCTTAATCCACACTTCCTACTTTTACTACCTAATTTCTACTCCACTTAATCTCTTCAATCACACTTTGATAACCTTTTAATCATACTCCCTTCCACTTTTACATTTTACTTAATTCAAAATCCCACTTCCCTTCACCATTTTAATTCACACTTTACTTTAATCCCTTTATCTACACCTCCCTTCCACTCCACACAATCTCTTCTAATCACACACTTCTACACTTCTAACTCCCTTACATCTACATTTAATCACACTTTACTTCCCCTTTATAATCTCTCTTTAGTCACACTCCTCTATCATCTTCTCAGCATTCTATGGAGCCAACCTTATAATCTCCTTTATTTTCTTCACTTTAATTTTTCCATCAACTTCTACTCCACTCTTACTGCTCCCATATCAATCCCATCTCTTTAATCACACTCTTCATGCACACCTAATTCACACTTCCTACCTCAATTTTAATGACCACACTTTACTCCCTTCATCTCTTTAGTTACACACACTTCTAATTTACTGCATCTCTTTTTCCACCATACTCCCCTACTTTATATTTAATCATACTATCCCTTTACATCCTTTCTCTGTCATGTAATCTCCCTCTATCTCATAAACTAATTCAATCATATTAACTTATAATCTCTCCACTTACATTAATCTTATATTCCTTACATCTCTTTAATCACACACTCTTCTACTTTTTACAATCTCTTTAATCACACACTTCTACCTTTTAACTCTCTTTAATCTTTACCTTTTATATCTACTTAATTACATATTTCTTTATCTCTCATAATCTCTTCTTGTTTGCACTCCTTTATCCTTCATTTGCTAACACCTCAATTCACACCAGACCCTCTTCCACATTAATTTGTATTTCCTTTACTAATCTTTAATCATACACTTTCCACTTTCATAATCTCTTTAATCAACACTCTAATTCCTTTTATAATCTCTTTAGACCATGAATCCTACTCCTTTATAATCCTTTTTCTTAGTTTCACATACCTCTATACATATAATTTTTCTTAATTACTCCTAATTCCTTATATCTACTCTAATTCATACTTTATTCTCATAATCTCTCTGTTATGTGGACTCTTTCCATCTCATTAAACTAATTCACAATTCACACAACTTATAATCTCTCTTATCACATTAATTTATACCTCTTCACAATCTCTTTAATTACATACTCTTAATTTTACTGCACAATCTCTTTAATTACACACTCCACTTCATTGCATTAATCTCTTTGCACCACACTTCCTAATTTATATCTACTCTCTTAATTCATATACTTTTATTCTTTCATAATTCCTTTTCTGTTATGTACTCTCTATCTCATAAACTTAATCAATTACATAATTCCCATCTCCACATATTAATTTATACCTTTTATAATCTTTGACTACACACTTTCTAACTTTTAATCCCTTTAATTACACACTTTACTTTTCATATCTTTTAATTACAACTTCTTCTAATCTTTATAATCTCTTTAATTCATTTACTCCCTTTACACTTTAATTACAAATGTACACTTGTGTTACCTTTAATCATAACTTTCTACTTTCATAATCTTTAATTTCATGAATCCTTCTTAATTTCATCAATTAGTTGCTAAACTACTCTTCTTTGCTAATCTCTTTAATTACATTAACTTCTACTTTCACTCATATCTCTATATTCTATAATCTCCCTTTAATTCACATTAACTTTAATCTTTAATCTCTTTAGTTACATTACTCCACTTTCATCTTTTAATTTCTACTTTTAATTCTTTAATTACACTTCTAATTTTTTATAATTCCTCTACTTTTAATCTCTTTTTCATCTCTCCTTTCTACTTTCATATTCTTTTTCTTAATCTAATTCTTCTTACCTTTACATCTTTATCTTATCACTCTTTTCCACTCCATATCTTTAATCTACTTACCTTTACTTACACTCTACTCCATCTCTTTAATCAACTTTAATCACACTTCCCACTCCGTACTTTTGAAATCCTGTATTTATAAAGAATGTGTCTTCAGTATTCACATAAGGAACTGAAAAGATACTTCATAATTTAAGCTTGTACATAATGTTTGCTTTTTCTTCATTTTCCAATCTGCCTTTTGATTCCATGGGTAAATATTTCTTGTCAAGTGAACCACCTCCGAGGACTGCTACAGCACCTGCCTGGAATAGAAGGCCGGGGAACTGCGTCCTTCCAAATTTGGTCAAACTATATTACTTGTTATTTTCTTGCTTGGCGCTCGGTATTCAGTGGATAAAACAGGTAGCCTAGTAGTTAAAGTGTCCGCTCGTCACGCCGAAAACCCGGGTTCGATTCCCCACATGGGTACATTGTGTGATGCCCCCCGCAGTGATGTTGCTGGAATATTGCTAAAAGCGGCGTAAAACCAAACTCAATCACTAACTTACTATCTACGTTTTACTGAGACAAGGTCTCTCCGCGGGCAAGCACCATACATCTCACATTATCCAGGCCTATTACAAGCAGCAGTATTACCACACCTCCTTGATATCCTCATCGTATTTCACTCCCTGTTGCCATGTAGGATGTAACATCTGTAGCAGCAAGTAAACGGGAAACATATACTCGGGCGAAGAATGTCGGTATGACCAAACTTCCTTGAACCTATGTTAGTGTCAATACGATTACATATTTTAACTGCATGTGCAGTGGGTTAGCCAAAGTTTCGGGCATCGGCGTTCCTATCGATGAGGAGATGTAGGGTAGCCTTGGGGTTAAAGCGTTCGCCCATCACACCGACGACTGTGGTTCAGTTCCTCACATGGTACAATGTGTGACTCCCAGTTCTGGTGTCCTGGATACTGTTGGAATATTGATTGTAGTGGCTTTACCTCACTCACTCACTATTTCGGGTACCGGTGGGGGACGAGGTGGTCATTAGTTTCTCGATTCTCTACACCTTATCAGACTGCGTCTAGGAGACAATTTCACATAGATCTGGGGCTGTTTAACTTCCTATGTTGTTATTGTCGTCGATGTAGCAGCGTCCACAGTTCTAGTAGTAGTAGTAGTAGTAGTAGTAGTGGTGGTAGTGGTAGTAGTAGTAGTAGTAGTAGTAGTAGTAGTAGTAGTAGTAGTACTTAGTGGTGGTGGTAGTAGTAGTAGTAGTAGTAGTATTTAGTGGTGGTGGTGGTAGTAGTAGTAGTAGTAGTAGTAGTAGTAGTAGTTTAAAGTAAATGAGTTTGGCTTAAAGCTGCTTTAAACAGCATGTAGTTGCAGTCGAGGGAGGTGTCCCAGCAAACCAGCCCCCGCGTCAGTGACGATGTTGTTGCCTGTATATTAGTCAGAAACATCCGACATGACACGCCCTCCTCATCCCAGATAAGGTTGCTGTTGTACACGAGTCACTGTAACCTGCTGATGTACACGTCCCTGTGTGTGGCTCCGGCGTACCCAAACACAAGCACTGCAGTCAGCTCTAATCAGCAAGATTATTTGCACGGGTTTGATGGGGTTTTTCTTTGCTTTGGTTAACATTTAACCATACAGAGGGAGAAAATGCATATAATTGTGTGCGCGGGTGTCCGCATGTGTGTGCGTTCGTTTGTGTAAAAGAGTATTTAAAAAGCATTATCTTATCAAAACTCCTTTCTGTAAGTTTTGCAAGAACACCCTGCCTGCATGACACGCCTCAAACCACAATTACAAACAATTAGCAGCTGTTCTTCTTCCCTCGGGAATTTATTCAAGAATGCCTTTTTTATTATTCACAGGAACAGTAACTAATCTGCTTTCAGAACAATCTATTATGGAAATAGTGTTTGATAATCGAAAACAGACAGCCTTGGTAAATTAAAGATGGCAAAATGTTAGGGAGTTTCTGGTAAACATACAAACCTTGCATGTAGTGACCATATCACGAAATAATTCCATCAATTAAATCTCTTTGAGAGGCATTTTAGAAGTTGTGAAGATGAAGGAAAACTGATTTGTATGGATAGTCAACTTCTTTATTGCAATGAGTGCGACGTTTCGGTGTAGGTACTAACTTGCTTGATAACGGTGTTAGTACCTACACCGAAACGTCGCACTCATTGCAATAAAGAAGTTGACTATCCATACAAATCAGTTTTTCTTCATGAATTAAATTCACTGTCTTCACGAATGGGAAGCAAAATGGCAAAACATCTCGACATTTTGAATGCCATTCTTTCCATTTCTCATTTAACGCATACTGCCTAAGTTTTGTAAACCTCTCAAAACAAAACAAATACAATCATATACATGTAAAAAACACGGTATTAGACATTAGAATAATAGACACTTCATTTCTGATTCGTCGAATCAGTTACACAGTTGCGTCATATTTTAAAACTGTAAGCCTCCTGGAAGCACTGTTTTAAGACTCGATGGGAATCCCTTTACAATTCATGGAGACAGGCGCTTGCGACCTAATTTGATAAAACAAAGTTGTGCGACTTGTGTGATCTCAGTAGATTCGTGTGAATCTAATTATACGAATAGTAAATCACATGGTAGAGTAATTGCTCCACGTGGCATGCTCAGCATCACATTTGTACAGACAGCTTGCCATTTGGGATATCTACTGACCATGTAATGTACAATTAGACGAATATCATCTGTACGAAAACCCGCCTAATGCAATATAGTCACTTACCTCTTCAGCGTTAAATAGAATTGCGCAAGTGTCCCGCTCTGCCTCTCGAGAAGTCGCCGGGAAGCCTGGCTTTAACTTCTTAACATGCTAGTTAGTTCCGGGTTGATGCTATATATGCGGAGTAAGTCAGATTTATAAACACAATGCGACAACGCCCTACATTAAGTGCGGACTCAGTCGCCCAGAGGTTCTGGACATCCGTGTACCTCCCTCGGTGACCCCCCAACGAGTTCGAAGTCGATTAGTGAGTGAGGGAGTTTAGTTTTACGCCGCTCTCAGCAATATTCCAGCTATATGGCGGCGGTCTGTAAATAATCGAGTCTGGACCAGACAATCCAGTGATCAACAGCATGAGCATCGATGGGAACCGATGACATGATTGTGTCAACCAAGTCAGCAAGCCTGACCACCCGATCCCGTATGTCTCCTCTGACGACAAGCATGGGTTACTGAAGATCAATATTCTAATCCGGATCTTCAGGGGTGTGCAGTCATTGAACAGGCGCCCGTTACAGGTCACCTTCTGACTTCTTGAAGATATATAGTGCGTGCGTGCGTGCGTGCGTTCGTGTGTATTTGAGCTAGACCAGGTTATTGTCAGGTGACAGTGCTCACCCAGTGAAGAACCATACCTCAGTTACATATGGATACCCCACTCAGACACAGTATACCGACCGGTGGGATGTCCTCATTATATCCTCTTAATGACAAGTGGCAGGCAGGGTAAAAACAAGTACAACCATTTAACGTCTTTTGGTTTAACACGGCCAAGTAATTGAAACAGACTTCCGCTCACTTGCTCTAACCACTAGACCTCGGATTTGGTCATGTATTCTGGTCAGCGGGATAGGAGAAAGGTAGTATTTCAGTAGATGTCCATCTCCTGTACAATCACCAGGCAATGGTTTGCCTTCTGGAAGTTGGGGAAGTAAACTGCAGCTTCACAGCAGGTGCCCATCCTCAGGTCTACCTGTTGTCTAGCAGGTGGGATGGAAGAATAAAGTGTTACAGCAGGTGCTCCTTGTCTGCCTTGCAGTTTATCAGATTGTGTGACCACTTTTTTGTGGTGATTACATATTTCAGTTTTCATAGTTTTAGATTTCATAGTTTTCCTTTACCTTTTCATTATTTTTATTTTGGCAAAATCATTCAAACCTTGTCTTAAGTTTCACATAAGCCATAATGTGGTAAATCATCAGTGTGATGAGGCAGTATTTGAGCTGTATCACCAGGACTGTTATAGCCTTATACACCAGATGCCTATTATAAGTTAGTTGGTTGTTAACACTGCACTCACAAGGTTTTCCACCTATATGGTGGCAGTCTGTAGATAATCGAGTTTGGACCAGACAATTCAGTGATCAACAGCATGAGCATCAATCTACGCAATTGGGTTATGATGACATGTGTCAACCAAGTCAGCGAGCCTGACCACCAGATCCTGTTTGTCGCCTCTTACAACAAGCATGGGTTACTGAAGACCAATTCTCACCCAGATCTTCACAGGTAGCCTCTTACGACAAGCTTGGGTTACTGAAGACCAATTCTCACCCGGATCTTCACGGGTAGCCTATTACTATTTGTCCAAACCAGACAAACCAGTGCTTGAGAGAATGAGTAACATATGCCACTATTTGGTACTGTGACACATCATGGGTACATCATTTCCTACAGGGACACAATAATATAAGGAATAACACATTCTTAAACAAAAGGTTTTTATTTCACACATATTTTCACCGATTTCACAAAAAAGGGTAAAATTGTGCACTTTAAGCCAGATTTCACATTCAATCACATTGCATATACATAGGTTAGTCAGCAAGATCGGTCTTTGTAGAATAACATGACATCTATGAAACAAATTTGTGAAAGCAATATTATCAAAATACTTTAAGTCATTTTTTTCCACATTACAATTAAACTTTCCTAAAATGTCCCTTCATGATAAAATAATACAAAATGTTTCCTTAAATACCATCTAAAACCTAGTTTCTTACCAGATTTGATAATATTCACTTTTGATGTACTGTTAAATATTTTCTAAGGTGAATGAGGCATGACTTCAGTACATAGCACTTATCCAATGTATGACACGTAAAACAGAGAAGGTAAAACTGTGAATAAACCATGCATGCAATAAGTGCTGGTATTGTAAACATATAAAGTTGTAAACATGACTAGTGTTTAGAACCATGATGTGGGTGTGTCCAAAACACTGACTAAGTGTCTGCCTGTCAGTTTCAAATCTGTTTATTTAAATCAGTTTATAACTCACTTCCCATAACAAGGAAAGCAAATTACACCCAGTTCCTGAATATAAATCAATTTGTGTGTTGTATTAATATTAAAACCCTGAATATACCACATTTAAAAGTCTGAAACACACATGGTTGTAGATTTCAAGTCAATGCTATCTGTTAAAGTTCAAGATATTATGTATACAACTGTTCATAAACTACCCTTTTGACAGTGAATACACTGTTTGAGCATAAATATTCTTTAGAACTATGATCACTTCCATATTTGTAACTTCCAGTTTAGGCTATCTGGAATGGTACACACTAACAAAATATTAACAGATCTATTAATTTTACATTCCTGATAAAACTGGTATGCGTTAAAAATGGCTTATTATGACGGAAAACGATAACAGAAACAAGACATGAATATGTCAACAGAAAAGGGAATGTTCAAGTGATCATGAAAAAATGGATAAAAGTAAAAATACATAACTATAAAAACATGACATTAATATGCCAACCTTATATACCTTAACTGTGCACTTTGATCAGTGCGCTAATCATTATGATACACAGCGGTTGTCTCCCCTTGATGCCGCCGCTTATGGACAAACCTTTAACAGTACACAGATTATGTGCCACAGAAATGCAGTGAACAAAAAGCATTAAAAAAGGCACATAATGTTCAATTGTAGGACACATAACTAGGGTATATATACAATCAGTTGCTAGCAATCACAGCGAGAAGCATCGGGATCCCAACCTGCCACAGTCTGGCAGCCAATCACAAGTGGTCTTTACAAAGCAATGGCTCTTCCGATTAGAACTTTGGTCCAAATGGTGAAAGAAATTGGTTAATAACTTATGATTATCAGCTGGTAATAAAACTATTCAAAATTTCATATAATGGAGCCATTAAAACCCGACAACCCATCTTATCTCCTTCAACTATCAGGTTAACTGATTTAAATAGTCGTACAGATATTTGAATACAGAAATTAAATTTAGACGTTTATGCATTGTCATGCCACTCTGATCTTCATATCAAATAAACTTGCAACACCCAAAACGAATGTACAAATTCCATTTTGTTCAACCACCATTCTTAGAAGAATCACAGACAAAAGCCATCAAACTGACCTACGTGAACAAAAATATTTTTCAATAGGGCTGAATTTACTTCAAAATCACAGAAGCGTGAACAGGACTGCATACATTTAGTTCAACTAGGATGTCATAAAAATACATATCTTGTATGAACGTGGCTAGTTGTACCTTGAAGTGGACTTCCTCAGGATATCACTGAAACGAGTGTAAACCACTCACGCCTACAAGCAAGCGGTGTCAGAAAGTCATGCAATGGAAAAGCTCAGCGTGAACTGAAATAACAAAATATAAAGAAAAAAAACAAAGACCAAATTTCGATGGTTTACCTGAAATAGCAACTTCTCAATAACAGGGTAAACACACAACACGTAGAAAGACACAACCAAATACAATATTAATCTCTAACTTTCAACATCAATCTAACAAACAAAAGTAAGACAAGTCATACGTTAAATGTATGTTTCTTAAAATACTTCATAAATTAAAGTAAAAATCTAGATATCGGACTCATGCTGAACAAATTGGAATAATGTAAATTGATATTGAATTGATGCTAAAGAAATTATCCGAGGTGGGATTATCTCTCCATGGTGAAAATGTTTTTTACACTAGCTATCTCTACTCCGATATTGAAGGTCTATATTGCCCTAGATCTAGATCTACATATGTAAAGCTCTCCCTTCGCTATACCTACACTGCCAGCTAAATGCAAACAGGTCTGTATACAAACAACATAGTAATGGCTGAGGACATGTACCCGCTTGACTGCACTCGAGTAACACTAAGTGAAAAAAGTGCCCATGAAAATTGCATTTGCAATGTATACCATCAATATACAATATAAATTTCCGTGAAACAATATGACTATAAAATCAAGTCAAGGTGAAAAAAAACAACTTCTTGGACAGCAGTGCCCAAAAAATTCAAAGACTGGTATCATAAAATGATAAAAATATTTGCAACTTCAGCACAATGTCTCAAAGCATTTTCACATCTATCAAATAGACATTAATTTGCAGTATTTTTAGGTAAGATATATGCACACACATGACAAACACTGGTGATTGGTCACAACCTACTTCTGACATGTTTGCCTTTGACAATAGAGTACAGCATTGATAAATAACATCTACACAACAAAATGGAAACATCAAGATGACAGGATGATGATGTGAATATGTTACTGTGTTCTGGTCCAATATACTAGAAGCAAACGATGAGATATGCTCACTGTATCACTAGTGCAAATTATGATGGGGACTTAACGCTCGTAATTATCTCCCCTTCTTGCCACAGAATGAGTTGTCTCCCTTTGTAGAGCGCAAACAGCTGATGATAAATGGGTGATTTTCTATACTCATCATCTGTATTTCCCTTCCTTACCTATTTTTTCAAAATACTTCACACATCATGGGGTATTCCTTCAAATATTCAGACTGGAAGGTTTAAACTGTAACTTCAAATACAAATCTCAAGATCTTGGTTGAGCTGTAAATGGCATTTCATATAATTTGATTCTCAAACTCCTTTAGAGCTCATGCTTGTTCATAAAGTTAAAACTTGTTCTTAAAATAGATATGTGGAGAATTAACATTGCATGTTGTGGGATTCAGTTTTCTACAAAGGCAATAACGTGGCTGTTGACTGGGCCTTTAAATGTACACTGTACTCGATGCACTTTGCCGTCGATGATGCGGATAGATGTTGGCAGGGAGCTGACTAGGAAGTTACTGAAGACGCCTCCAGCTACAAGTGTCTTCTTCAGCGGCTGTGGCTTCCAGTCCCGGTCTGTCAGGGAGGATCCTGCAGAAAAAACATGATATATCTTTGTTACTAATTCCAGGAAAACGCCCTCTATAGCACCATAGCCATACTTCCCACGCTTTGGCTGTCATCACACCATAAAAGTCTTCAGAGTTTCAACAGAAGTCCTCTTAACTGCCATTATCCATAACCAGTTGTGCAAGTAACAGTATTTTATTACCCAGGCCTCCTGCAGGTCACACAAACTCTTCGAAGGAGCAAATTGGGCTGTAGATTCGTACAGAGTGAGGAGCAAATTGGGCTGTAGATTCGTACAGAGTGAAGATGTTGAACTTAATCAAAATATCTTCTTCTCATGACCCTCCTTTACAGATTCATATTTTGTAAGACCCTTTCCCTTGACTCCCTCAATAACAAAGCAGCAAGATTTGACAGTATTGTTTGTTTGATTGCAGTCTAAAACCACTCTCAGCAATATTCCAGCAACATCAGCTACCAATCCCGTTAGTCACCTCTTCCAACAAGCATGGGTTGCTGAAGACAGCTTGTAACCCAGCATACAACAGTTCTTACCTTTGACCTTGTCCAGTTTTCCATTAGTAAGACTGAGGAAGAAAATGTCATCATCATCAGCTGACGTCATGACAACATCGTATCCGGGATGTACGGCGGAGGAGAAGAAGGCTACATCGCTGATGCTGCAGCTCAGCGTGACCTCAAACTCCGACTCCAGGTTTCCTACACAAAGGAAGAATGTTCCACATAGCATTACAACAGAGACACACACTTCATGAAATTTGCATGTTCGTAAAGGGTCCTGATATTAATTGATGATGTATTTGTTCCAAGCCGATTTCTTACAACTACATAATGGCAAATTGAGTGAGTGAGTGAGTTTGGTTTTACGCCGCTTTTAGCAATATTCCAGCAATATCACGGCGGGGGACACCAGAAATGGGCTTCACACAATGTACCCATGTTGGGGATCGAACTCGGGTCTTTGGTGTGACGCTTTAACCACTAGGTTAGTTTATTACTTTCACTCTATACAATGGATTGCTGAACTTTAACCCAAACAGTCTCTGTTAATATGTTATGATTCTATGTATTTTTACATATTTATTTGTTGGATGTGTACATGTTGTACATTCAAACAAGTGACAACTTTGTCAAAATTCACAAGAGCCAAACATTACATTGTTTCATAACATGGAAAAATAATAACCATAACCTTTGTTATTTCAGAATGAACAAAACTCTCATTGTATAACAAGATAGAATTGATGGTATGAAAACTGAAAATACACGAAGTTTTTGGATTGCATTACGGTATACAGAACTGAAGGCAAAATACTGTGGTATACTGTTGCCACTATGGCAAATTGAAAATGATGGAATCTGGACCAGACAAACCAGTGATTAGGGGTGAAACAGTATATCGCGGTATTAGTAGTACCAAAGTATTTTGCCTTCAGTTCGGTATACCGTAATGCAATCCAAAAACTTTGTATTTTCAGTTTTCGTACCATCATTTCTATCTTGTTATAAAATTAGAGTTTTGTTCATTCTAAATAACAAAGATTATGGTTATTATTTTTCCATGTTATTAAACAATGTAATGTTTGGCTCTTGTGAAATTTGACAAAGTTGTCTCTTGTTTAAATGGACAATATGTACACATCCAACAAATAAATAAGTAAAAATCCACAGAATTATAACATATTAACAGACTGTTTGGGTTAAAGTTCAGCAATCCATGTTTAGAGTGAAAGTAATAAACTATCCAGGAGTAAGGAATTTCATCTGTGTAGATGTCCTACCATCATCTGACACTGTCAAGACTGAGACTTTGCCATAGAAGTCGTCAATGGTGACTATGTGCTTGGAGTCCGGTGCCACGAAGGGTTTGCCTGGGATGGCTGTCTTGGAGATGATGTTGTCTGTGAGGTAGTCCATCAGTAGCTGTGTGGTCTCGTGGGTCGACTTGGACACACACTGGACGATTACATGTCCACCTGAAACAAACACACCCCTGTATATGACCATCAGTCCACCAGTGCAGATGCACCTAAAATCACCAGTTACTCCTCATTACAAATATACCTTGTTCCTCTGTGTGACATTGCTACTTCAAAACTGAATGATATAAGCACATTTCAACTGATGAGACACTCGAACCATTAAGACATGCAGAGTTATCTCCCTTATAGCACCAGCACATTTGAGCCATTATGACATCATGCTATTGTTCTTGCAATTGATTCTTGGTCATTTTTTTTTTTACTGTCTATTATGAATTTGCATCTTAAACAAGTATAACTATCATAACTATATCTCATTTTGCAAAATCATAACATTATATGTTAACCATAATATGGTCCAAGTCACTAATCACTAATGGAATCAATGAAATCAAGTATAACCCAAGCCTTACGAGACAACCTCTGATCTCTCATGTAATCAACATAACTGAACATCACCAGAGGTAACCCTTTACAAATGACAGTCCACTGGATGAGCACTACCTTTAAATGGCTAGTTTCACGTTTTTACCGATCTGGGCCAGTTTAGCATTTCCCACATTCATCTTTTTTACTGCTTTTTATGATGAAATCAGAAATTATAAAACAAGATAGTGGCAGTAAGCAATTCAACAAGCTGGGACTACAAAACATGGCAATCAACCAGGCCATACATTTAACATCTGATCCCCTTTCTATTTGGCTGTTGAGACAAGCTTGAATACATGGGATTCTACTTCATAAGTACTTAGTACATAGTACATTGTACTGATAGCTGTAACTGTATTACTGACTAACCAATGGCCCGCGAGTCTCACTGATAGCCCCAAAGGCAGAGATGCCAACCCTGAATCAAATGAAAGTGGAGTCAAGCCTTGCTAAAAGAAATTCCTAAAACCCTGAAGGTGTGAGATGGGTTTTAGTGTGAGAGGGGGTTTGGGTCCCCTTTGATGGTGTGGGTCTGGGGGGCTTCCAATATGAAAATCTTTAGATTTAGCCTGGAAATATGCATTTCCGGGCATACTTAACCAGATAATTCTTACTCAAACTAACATATTTACTAAAATTCTTTCAAACATTCTAAATTTATAAACAAATTTGTATTTTCTAAAAAAACGGAGTTTTTTATAGACAAATCGGAGAGTGGATTTTGTATTTGAAAAAAATCTTCCAAAATCAGAGTGGTTGGCATCCCTGCAAAGGGAGTATAAACTCACCGACTACAACAAAGGTAGGACTGACTCACTGAATCCCCAAACCTTACTATGAACTTTCTGACAGCGCCAACGTGACTACTGACTGACTGATAACTATAAAGAGACTAGTGACCCACAGAAAAAGATGAACTCATGGACATGAGGGGAGTACTCACTGACAACTATGAAAGGAGTACTGACCGCTGGTGGGATGAGTTTTCATTACTGGTAGCCTAATGAGAGCACCCACTAACTGATAGCCCTAAGGTGGGTATTTAACTAACTCACCTTTAGCCATAAAAGAACCTGTCACGGATAGCCATGAAAGAAGTAGTGATTACAATAGATTAAAGAGAGTACCAACTCACCTTTATCCATAAAGGGAAACTGACATTGATAGCCATGAGTGAGCGAGTATTGTTTTGACATCGCTTTTAGCAATATTCCCACAATATCACGGCAGGGGACACTATAAATGGGCTTCACACTTTGTACACGTGGGGAATCAAACCTGGGTCTTTGGCATGACAAGACAACGCTTTAACCAATGGGCTACCCCACCGCCCCTTGATAGCTATGAAAGAAGTAGTGACTACAACAGCTTAAAGAGAGTACCAACTCACTGAAAGTCAAAGAAAGACAACTGACTCACCACAACTCAACAAGAGAGTACTGATACACCGATAGCCATACAGAAAGTGCCGACTCACCAATAGGTATTAAGGGAGAGTTGACTCACAAATAGGTATTAAGGGAGAGTTGACTCACCAATAGGTACTAAAGGAGAGTTGACTCACCAATATGTACTAAGGGAGAGTTGACTCACCAATAGGAACTAAGGGAGAGTTGACTCACCAATAGGTACTAAGGGAGAGTTGACTCACCAATAGGTACTAAAGGAGAGTTGACTCACCAATAGGTACTTAGGGAGAGTTGACTCACCAATAGGTATTAAGGGAGAGTTGACTCACCAATAGGTACTAAAGGAGAGTTGACTCACCAATAGGTACTCAGGGAGAGTTGACTCACCAATAGGTACTAAGGGAGAGTTGACTCACCAATAGGTACTAAGGGAGAGTTGACTCACCAATAGGAACTAAGGGAGAGTTGACTCACCAATAGGTATGAAGGGAGAGTTGACTCACCAATAGGTATGAAGGGAGAGTTGACTCACCAATAGGTATTAAGGGAGAGATGACTCACAAATAGGTATTAAGGGAGAGTTGACTCACAAATAGGTATTAAGGGAGAGTTGACTCACAAATAGGTATTAAGGTGAGACGAAATTGGGTTTAACGTCGTGCTTGAGAATATTTCGCTCACATGACGACGTGCATGCGTGTGTATGTGTATGTGCAGCTGCTTGTACTAGGCCAGACTGAAGCTGGCTTTATAGTGCTAGCCCACTGAGATACCATAACGCAGTGAAGCATGAATACCCCACTCAGACACATTATACTGACTCCGAGCCGACCAGTCCTTGTTGTACCCATTAATGCCGACCGCCAGGCAAGGACCAACAAGTACCATATTTTAACGTCTTTTGGTATGACGCGGTCGGTGATCGAACCCGCGACCTTCCGCTCTCTAGGTGGACGCTCTAACCACTACACCACGGAGGCTGTCATAGGTATTAAGGGAGAGTTGACTCACCAATAGGTACAAAGGAGACACTCTTGGGTACACAGTTGTAGGATGAGAAGTCGATAGCCTTGACATACTTCATGGTCTTCAGGTCAAGTTTGAACAGACCCTGCTGGCCGTTGTGGGTGATGTAGCCATAGTTGAAGGCATGGTGCAGGTCATTGGCGGGTGGCAGGAACAGATCCTGTACCTGAGGGAAGGAACAACATTCCTTTTCAAAAACTTCTCAATAAGACATACACATTTCCAAAGAACAAAACCAAATAAAATCCTTTACTATGATAGGCATTGACATGTTAGTTCTGTGGTATTTTATTCACTCACCATATCAAACCTGTTGCCTACAGGCTGTGTGTGGACAGCATGGTGCTGGATGTACTTGCTGGCGTCACGGATTACGATGATGGTTTTTAGGCTGCTGTCGGTGTCGCTGTTCCAGCACAGAACCCAGACCTGATCCAGATGCTCCACATAGTGCAGAGCCATTGGGGCCTTGTCTGTGTCAATCACCTGCAGAGGAAGGAATACAAGGTTCACTAAACACTGATTACAATGTGAGCCGTGGGTCAAATAGACTGTGGAAAATGTTACTTCCCTCTAAGGAGATGTTCACGCTTCTGCATTCGCTGGCTTCACATTTATTTTCAACATGCTGTGTTCATGCACAGAGCGTGTACAAAGTATCCACTGGCCTAGTTAAGGTTTGGTCGTATGTTTACCGATAATGTACATCCCCTTCTCACAACTAAAAAACACATCTCTGAAGCAATTGCAACCAAATTAGGACATCAATTATTGAAAGCCATAGGCAAATGGAAGTATGTACTCATGTTGTCACACGTAATAATCTTCATATCAGCTTTTCTTTAGAGTGTGTTTACTCTATCGGTAAACATATGACCAAATCGGAACTAGGCCATTGGATATTATACACGCTCTGCGCATGAGCACAGCGAGTCAAAAAGTAATGTGAAACCACCGAATGGAGTCCAATCCAGAACCTGAATACATTCTACAGTATGTAGAACTCAGCCTACAGAGTGAGTTTAGTTTGATGCCGCACTCAGCAATATTCCAGCCATATGGCGGCTCAGCATACAGATCATTTAAAGACTTCATAGCCCAAGCTTGATTCTGCATCATGAGCAGATTATATTATTCATAACTATAACACATAACACATCCTTTTGTGACCTGTTTTCCACAAAATAACTGCCAAATTTTGATTGTTTTCCAAACTATTACCATCCATGTTATAACAGCTCTGTTTATCCTTTTGACCTATTATCATTGTTCCCATGTGTCAACATCAGTGTACCAGCTGTTTCTACTGCTGTAGATGTTACAACACGAGCGTCTATCAACACCTCGATAACAAGTCAAACTTTTGTCTGAGTGAGTTGGATTTTACTCTTTCCGCAATATTCCACTGAAACCAGGTCCTCGGCATATCAAGCAAATACTTTATCTACTAGGCTGTCCCACCACCCCTGCTGTGCCAAAGTGAGTGAGTTTAGTTTTACGCCACTTTTAGCAATATACCGGCAAGGGACAGCAGAAATGGGCTTTGCACATTGTACCTATGTGGGAAATCGTACCCATGTGGGAAATCGAACCCGTGCCTTCAGCATGACAAGCGAACACTTTATCCACTAGGCTACCCCACCGCCCCTGTTGTGTCAAATTAAGAAAGCAATGTCAGAAGCATCTACATAACAAGATTTGGACAAATCATTTCAATACGTTAATGAATTGAGTGATTAAAGGCACTGGAATATCAAGCAAATTAGTCTCCATCTACTGTTTCCTGATTGGCGGGTAGCAGAACACGAGGTTTTGTGTTGCATTGTTGCGCTGAACAATGTCACTGATTTTGTAATGTGGTCTACAGTGACTTTTATCATTATATGAGCAGTCTGTGAAGTCACAATTCAGAGCTCCAGATAAGATTTAGCTCATGTGGGTACTGTACCCACTGTATTTTTTTGGAGTGGGTATTATGAATGTTGAGTGGGTATTTCATTTTCCGTTACCCACTGATTTCAAATATGTGCCTATTTCAGTCATTTTACTCACCTAAGTATTATGTCATTGAGTAAGTTTACTAAGCAGGTATGTTCTGCCTTATGTCATACCTAATCAAAACCAACTTAAATATAAGGGAAATGATTTCATAAAAAATCACTCATCCTATACTGACAGTACAACACTTGTCCTATACTAACAGTACAACTTGATAGCAATCGATGTATTTTTAATTACGCAAGCGATTTTTATAAATATGTTCCAAACGCATTTGTTTTACATTTTTTGTGTATCTAACATTTAAAATGCGTAATTGGTACTCAACAATTATTTTTCAATGCGTAATTGGAAATTTTCTATACGTATTGTACCCGGATACGCAGCTTATCTGGGCCTCTGACAATTGTTGACATATTTATTCATAAGAGATGGTTTGAATATGTCCCTGAATTTATGAAGCAATAAGTATAGATACAGTTGTGCCATTTAGTGGGTAGAAAGTATTCACAGATTTAATGCGAATATGTTGAAGTCATCTCTGAAGATGACACACAAATATTGTCAATCAGGCCCCGATTTCTCAAAACAAACTTAAGTTTTTACTCAAGTTTCAAACTGAGTTTGATAATTTGAAACAACTGAATTTGTAACTCAACTCCATGTTTGCAGTAAAAAAGCCCCAACAACTTAAGAAATCTATCCACCAAACTCAAATTGTCTACTAAATTTGAGTTTAATGTCGATTTCAGTTCATTTTGGGAAATGCATTTACCTGCGCTTTCTCAAATTTGAGTAAAAACTCTAACTTAAGTCAAAACTCAGACTTAAGTTTGTTTCGAGAAATCGGAGCCTGAACAGTGTGTTTGACGTCCAACCAACCTGAATTGGATTCCACTTCCTGGCTGTGTCTACCACGATGACTCTGTTGAGTCTCGGCTGACTCACATACACAAAGTCCTTGACGTTGGTGACGGCACCCCACTCACAGCCTGCGGCAGAGTCGCACATCTTCAGGGGTGCATCGATGTTGTCGGGGATGAACTTGAAGTTGCCGAACTCTGGCTTGACGTCTCGCTCGAGGAGACAAGTCTCAGGCTCGTACACAGTGTAACCCTTGTGGTGGAAAACGATGAAGGAGCCGTATGATTTGGGGGAATAGGTATCTGCAAGAAGAAACATGGCTATTAAAGAAAAGGACATGTTTATCATGTTTGGTCTGAAACAGAACTTACACCTGTAATTTCAAACTACAGAAGGTATATCTCCTAAGTATCACTAAGTGTCACATACACAAATTGGAGAAAGTACTCTTTCAAAGTACCCTTCCACAGTTTTGTAAAACTTGTAAGTAATAGGAGATAGCTGCAAAAGGAAAGTTCAAAACTAAATCTAAAATTGAAAACACATTGTGGAATTATTCCCCGTCAAAATGTTTCATCCACCAGGGAGTGTGTTGCAGAGAGTTGGGCTGAAAGAACCACTTCTGTCAACTCTTTCTTATTTACGTAGACAAACAACACCTCTCTTGTTATTGTACATGTTTGCTTTGATGACGTTACAACTTATTCAACATTTGTGATTCATGACTGTAAACTGACTTGTCATCTAGTAATACCCCATACCAATCAGGAATAAATTAAAACTAAACCGTTGACGCTAACGATTCCTGATACTGAGTGAGTGAGTGAGTGAAGACTAATGCAACTTCAAACACTATTGTAGTTTTATCACCCGCCAGCTTGCTGTGGAAGGAAAACCCAAAGTGATGCAAACCCTCACTATGGTAGGGCAGACTGAGGAACATAATTAGTGTGAACACGGGATTCAAACTCATAACCATAGGTCTCAATCACATCTTAGGTACACAACAATGCACCGTATATTCCAGCGCGCTTTAGATGACTGGACCATCCATTCCTGTCACTCAGTATAACTTTTGCTAATATGTTGATTAACAGCAATTATATCTATGACATAGTGGTATGTAAATAATCAAGTCTAGACCAGGCAATTCAGTGACTGACACTATGAGCATCAATCTATGTAACTGGGAGACTATGACATGCATCAACCAAGTTACTGAGTCTGTCCAACCAATCCTGTCAGTTGATTATAAAGGTGAGGTGAGGTGAAATTGGGTTTAACGTCGTGCTTGAGATTATTTCGCTCACATGACGACGTGCATGCATATGTATGTGTAGGTGCGGCTGCTTGTACTAGGCCAGACTGAAGCTGGTTTTATAGTGCTAGCCCACTGAGATACCATGCCACAGTGAAGCATGAATACCCCACTCAGACACATTATACTGACTCCAAGCCGACCAGTCCTTGTTGTACCCATTAATGCCAAACGCCAGGCAGGGACCAACAAGTACCATATTTTAACGTCTTTTGGTATGACGCGATCAGGGATCGAACCCATGACCTTCCGCTCTCCGGGCGGACGCTCTAACCTCTATACCACGGAGGCGGTCTGACCATAAAGGTAAAGATGGGAGTTCTAACCAAGAGTGTCAAGGGGGCACTGGGTACAGACTCACAAGAGTTGGTCTTGTTCGGGTTCTGTATGAAGATGGAGGCCACGTCTTCCGACTGCCCTCCCTGGTTCTTGGCAATACACTTGTAGGCACCAGTGTCCCTCAGGTAGTCGGCCTTGTGCACCGTTAGGGTGCCATTCTCATCTGAATCAAAGAGGCACATCTCATATTGGACAGGTAATATCTATTGAATTGGTTGTGATGAATAAATATAAATGCAATACTTTAGCTGGCCATTAGAGCTGTGACGATATATTGATAATCATTGTATCGATAATCGTGATACTTTATCTGATGATAAATATATCGATACTCTTTTCGATATCGATACTCTTTTCGTATCGTGATATGTATCATTGAAGTTAGAATTATTACTTTTCACAAGAAATTGATATTATGCCAAGATTTACACCGTTACTTGCTATCAAAATATACTTATTTTAAAGGAAATTACTAAAGATAGCATATCGTGATATGCATCGAATCGAACCGTATCGTTCAAAGATATTGCGATACATATCGTATCGTGAAATTTCTGTATCGTTACACCTCAACTGGCCATGATACAGTCATACCCAGTTAGTCAATTGTGTGTTCTTAAACAGTACACTCACGAATTGTCAGTGAAAGAGCTACTAGGAACAGATAGACAAGTAGCAGATAGGTGAAGATTGTCTATTCTTCCCCATATTTCCCCCATTTGGATCTATTCTTACCTATTTTCCCCACTGAGAACTATTCTTTCCTATATTCCCCTTTGGAACTATTCTTCCACAGGATCTATTCTTTGGGAGATAAACTAGGTATATTTCTTTCATTATATTCCTAACTGAGACGTATCCCTCCCTATATTCCCAACTTAATCTATTCTTCCCTGGTTCTCAACTGGGATCTTTTCTTCCCTATGTTCCCAACTTAGCTGTCGATCTTCTCTCCAAGAATCCTAACCAGGATCTATTAGATTCCAAACTTCACTGGAGAATGAAATCCTGGCAACATTCACAGACTGTAACTGAGAACATTACACAACTGAGTGAGTGGGTGAGTATGGTTTTACGCCGCTTTTAGCAATATTCCAACAATAATACGGCGGGGGACACCAGAAATGGGCTTCCACATTGTGCCCATGTGGGGAATCGAACCCATGTCTTCGGCGTGACGAGCGAACGCTTTAACCACTAGGCTACCCCACCGCCCCCATTACACAACTGAAGAAGCAACAATGTAAACATATTATCCACATACGGGTTCTGATGAAATGGTTAGGTGTTTCTGGAATGGCCATCTCATTGACTTCCCAGCTGATCTTAGGTTTGGGGACACCCTCTGCGTGACACTTGATGACCACATCCGAGCTGGACTGCATCATCTGAGATGAATGAGAGATGAATGACAGATCACACATCAACCACATCATCATCATCAAAAAGTCTCATCATGCCCAAACAGACATATCTTTTAGCAATATCATCATCATCATCATCATCATCATCATCATCATCAAAAGTCTCATCATGCCCAGGAAGAGTGTGAAACAGTATATGGAAAAGTAAATCTGAAGTTGCAATGTCCTTGATAAGTTGCGGATCTCCTCTTCCTCCTCAGACATATCTTCTTGTGATTATTGAGTATGTATAAACAGTACATAAAGTTAGTAAATCTTAGTACTTTTGTCTTTTTTGTCCAGTGAGTAGTGGTACTCATCTTCAAATGCATCAGGAACAGTTAAGAAAGACAATTTCTGCTCATGAACCAAGATGACTTGATTCACCCAACACTGTAAGCAGGGCTCGATTTAAGAGATGTTAACCTACTTGCACCAGATGCAACCTAAGATAAAAACCTAGTTGCACCAGCCCACCAGCTGCACTGCTTTTATGGCAATATGTAATGAAAGAAATATGCTATTGAATTATTTAGATGTTACCCACTCAGTTAGACTAATAACTATGTTGCACTATGTAATATTGGATTGCACAAGTAACAAAGAACTAAATCGAGCCCTGGTAAGACATAGTTCGTCAAAGACTAGTGAAAATCTGGAGGGGTTTCTCGAACCAATCCAGCTATTTTACAAAACTCGCAAATCTGAAATGAGCTGTGGGCCATAGAACGTACTCTGCACTTTGAGATTATGTATCTGCTGAATCAATGGGTTGTTGACATCCTCGCAGGTGTAGTTGCCCATGTGGTGTACACCGACCTTGGAGAAAAACAGAGACCCATCCTCGAAAACCTGCAACAAAACATGACATCATTAAGGAGTAAAAAGGCAACTGAACAACTGTTCCAGAAGTATATCCTTCATCTTGCCTGCTACTTAGGTTTCCATGACAACATATATCAGACACAAGGTCTTTTTCAATCTTGGGACTTGATGGAGCACAAAACACTAAATAATCTTCCACTTCAGTATGTTCCAGTATTCCTTGTGGAAGGTAACTGAATATTCTTTTTCATATAAGATTATCTATTTTTAAGCACCTGGATGCAACGGTTTGTATAAATAGTTGACAAAACACATGACTTAATTCATGCTGCAATTCTGTGAAACCTGTTTTATTTATTGAAGTAAGCTTACTGTAATGAGACTTACATGCTCTCATATAGTCAAAATAATGCGATATGTACAGTAGAACACGGATATAACGAACTCCAAGGGACCAAGAAATTAGTTCGCTATATCCGTTGTTCGTTATTCACATTAGACCGCCATCTTGGATTGTAGAGATGTAGAGACATGTATATGCTGAGGCTATTGACAGGACTTTTAAATTTGTTCGCTATATCCGTTTGTACGCTATATCCGTGTTCGCTATATCCATGTTCTACTGTACAGTACTTAAATTTTCATACAATGTAGAAAACTCACAACTGGGTGGGAGTGAGTGAGTTTGGTTTTGCGCCGCTTTTAGCAATATTTCAGCAATATCACAGCGGAGGACACCAGAAATGAGCTTCATACATTGTTTCCATGTGGGGAATCGAACACGGGTCTTCAGCTTGACAAGCGAACACTTTAACCACTTGGCTACCCCACCGCCCCCAACTGGGTAGGAGGGAAATCAGACAACCTCAAGGGTAGCTGAGTCCAGCATATCATAAACTAAATTTGAAAGGCCTTATTTATTAACACAGCAGACATCGTTAATGTTGGTATATCCTACCGTGAGTTCATCATTGTTCAGTTCACGGATGTCTCTATTAAATCTCTTCCAGACGATCTCCTCTGCACCTGACACACCACACTTCAGTTCAAGCCCATTCCCAACGGTAGCCAAGGTCGGGATGACCTTCATGTCCTGGTGCAATTTTTTCACCTTCATCGAACCTGAAGAAAGAATGTTGACATCCTATAACAGCATTGGAAAAAGACCAAAATCTTTTTTTCTTCCAATTTCAGTACTTCAAACAGTAGCCTGTGGCCAAACTAGAACCTTGTTGGCAAATAATTATGTCTGCTTCAAAGGATGCTGATTGATTGCAGCAGAGTTGTCTTTGCAGGAAGATTCAGCACACTATTTAAATACTTCAGCTGGATGCAGGAAATTGCTGAGGTTTCTTGTTTCCCAATCATGTGGTTATCATTTACCAAATCCTCCTCACTGTGAAGTACATAAACATATTGATCATCACATTTATTTCAAAGGCCTTCAGATCCTCTGAAGCGTACATGACCATAGCCTAATTGGTGGTTTTTCACTTCCTTGACACATGAACAAATTAAGGATGAAAATTTGCATAAAAAATGTCCAGATTGAGGTCATCTCATTAAGACTTTTTAATAGTTTGGAGAATTTCCAAGTTAATGGCAAACAAAGTGGTTAACAGCTGAAGTCAATGGTAAAACTAAATGTGTTGTGAAGACAAGTACCATTGAAGGCAGCAATGAATTCGCTAACAGACAGTTTCCCATCAACAGGATTGCGGTCAGCGTAACGGATCATGTCAGCGAGGATACAGGCATCGGAGAGACGCTCATAATGTTCCTTCTTCTCCACCTCTCTGGCCTCAATATCCTCCAAGTAGAAGTCAAGGTCACGGTCATAGAAGCTGAACATCAGAGTTGCCAGGTATTCGCGCTCTGAAACAGTCAAACATCACTTAATTCTATACATGAATAGTCTCTACCAGACAAGGAAACACTTCTTTCCCTGGGAGAATCATTACTGCTTCCATCACCATAGTGCTCAGTGATTTTTTATAGTTTTTTGGGCAAATTACCAAATGGTTTAACTTTAGTTGGCAGGATATCAGTGGACCTAAACTCCTGTCGGCTGTAATATGTCTGTGCCTAATTGATGTTTTCACGAAGAATTTAGTTTACAACGATAACACAACATGAATGTCCAGAAGGAATAAAAGAGCTGAGTTTCATGCCACGGTATGCAGTTTATCAGCCGTATGATAGCTGCATGTGGCGTATGTAATTACATGTGGTGCAGACAAACCAGACTTGATCCACATCAGCAAGAAACTACCTTCCCCTAGCACCCAATGTCAGTACTCCTCAGTGGGTCAAGTCCTCTAAACACCCACTGTACATCTTCAATTGCCAACAAATACCATCAGTAATACGTACTCATAAGAAAGCAATTATCAAGCCCACTCTCTCAAAGCTAGTCGCTAAATCACAACAACTTAATGAGCCAAAAGTATCTAATGCCTGTAGTGATACAGAAAGCCATGATACAACACAAATTACAATGTGTATCAAAATATGCATGGCACTCTGCAATATCGAATGACAAACAGGGAAATCAACTCTATACCAATAAATGATTAGATACCATAGTACACCTTGAAATCAAATAGTGAGTGAGTCAGTCAGTGAGTTTTGTTTTACACCGCACTCAGCAATATTCCAGCTATATGGCGGCGGTCTGTAAATAATCGAGTCTGGACCAGACAATCCAATGATCAACAGCATGAGCAACGATCTGTGCAATTGGGAACCGATGACATGTGTCAACCAAGTCAGCGAGCCTGACCACCCGATCCCGTTAGTCGCCTCTTACGACAAGCATGGGTTACTAAAGATGAATATTCTAACCCGGACCTTCACGGGTTGAAATCAAAGAACATTGATGGTGAAGAAATTCATATTGACACACATGGCCTCGGGTCAGTTACCTTCTACCAGCACACCCAGACCAGTCAAGTTAAAACCGACCCACAGTTTAGTCTCTTGCAACAGAAATACTGGAGAACAATACCATAGAATCCCATGAGGGTCTATTTAGTTTGGTTGTTGTTTAACGCCACACTAAACAACTTCCAGCTACATGACTGGTTTGTAAATAACCAATTCAGGACCAGACATTCCAGTGACTGACATCATTGCATCGATCTGCGTAATTGGGATATGATGACATGTGTCAACCAAGTCAGCAAGTTGGACCACTTGACCCTGTTAGTCGCCTCTTACGACAAGCATGGGTTGCTGAAGACCAATTCTAACCCGGATCTTCACAGGTTACCACTGAGGGTGAATAACCATTGACATAGCCCTACCTTCCTGGACTTCTGTTTGGCAGTTGGGCTCAGTGAACTTCTCACAGTGATACTGGAGCAGGCTCTGTTTCAACTTCTCATATTCCTCCCTTGTGCATTCTTTCTTCTTCTCGATGCCCTTTCCTTCTACATTCTTCTCTCCATCATTTAACATCATGTTGGCCTTGACCTGTACATCTTCCTTGTAGACTGGTTTTTCAGTCTGTCTGATTGGCTCTCCTTTAGCAGAAGATTTTGGGTAGTCGTATATTTCTGCAGAGTTGATGATGGGAGATTTGATGGCATCTTGTGGTATGTCATTGTCGATGTCAATTTCAGATCTGTCAATGGCAGGTGCTTCCGTGTTCTCTTTGACCTTGACCTGGGCAAGAGCCTGCTCCCTGTCCAGCTTTTCTAAAAGAAAAATGAGAACGAAAAGTTTATTTTTTTATTCTCAAATGCGATATTGAAAAGTCAATTTAATCATCATATTGGCTGTTCAAGAATTCCCAGTTCATGTAACTGCAAGTGAAATGGATTATATTGCAGTAGAGCATGCAGTTATTCCATAAGACAAGATCTCAAGATTTCTTTGGCATCACATCATTGCCAGGCTTATGGACGGTTGCTCAACATCAGAGCTCTGGATGCCATACATTAATCAACTGACACACCATATATTGAACATGAAACGAAAAACAGATTTCAGAATCAGCAACACTTGTTCATTAGGCTTCAACAAATATGCACTATCACCCAAGTAGGACAACAGTACAGATGTATTCCCCATTTGATACATTATACACCAAGCAGGACAAACTACACTCCATTACTCGTAACTAATGGATACCAGATATGAGTACGGATTCATTTCAAAATTACATTTACTGCAAAAACTGTCCATATATCAGATTCTGCCACTGGACTGACAAAACATAACGAGGCTCAGATGACTAAAACCAATCAAGGGTCCAGGAATGACAATCTGATGCTCACCATTTCCAGATTAATGCAAAAGACATTGTCCAAACCAAACCATAACTGTTGTATTGAAGGGTACATATTCCTGTTTAGCCGAGGTTTAAGGTCTGAATCAGGCAATAATTCCATCCAATGAATATACCACAGCCAGCCATTACTCTTCCAATTTCTATTTTTTCTTGTCACTATCAGTGATTTATTGAGCTGCAATTCAGAAGCAATTCTCCGTACATGGCGCACAAAGACCCCATGAAAATCAATGGTGACTGTCTCCTTTTCAGCATATTGGACTTGGTATCTTTTGAACCGAAGAAATAGTCATTAACCCCAAACACACTCAACAAGGGCTATCTTCCTGATTCAAGACAAGAAATAAACAAAGTTTTGACATACGAATCGATAAGAAAAAAGTTTTGCGTTGTACCAATAATGCATTGGTAAAATAAATGGCAAATGTTCGATACACAAGATAACAAACAAATTTTCATTCATTGGTTTGATTCAGGATGCTTTTTCAAGGATGATGGAAGATTACAGCTATAAACTGTTTAAACTGTCACATAGATTTAACAAACAGTGCTATTTCTTTGCCAACATCAGTTCTGTAAATCATCCAGTGAGGGTGCAGGTGGTTTTACACAGCAGTCAGCAATGTAACGGCTGCAGCATATGATGAATCTGATCAGAACAATCAAAGACCTTGGCCCAATCCAGAGTGAGTGAGTAAGTTTAGTTTAGGCCACTTTTAGCAATATTCCAGCAATATCACAGCAGGGGGACACCAGAAATGGGCTTCACAAATTGTACCCTTGTGGAGAATCGAACCTGGGTTTTCAGCGTGACAAGCAAACACAAAGACCCAGGTTTGATTCCCCACAAGGGTGCAATTTGTGAAGCCCATATTGCTCCCCAACTCGAATATTGCTAAAAGTGGCGTAAAAATAAACTCACTCACAACAATGGCTTGAGACTGCACCAGGTAGCAGCAGAAATGTGCAAAACACAGTCTACAGGATTACATCAAAATCTAGATTTGAATCTTCTCAGGTTGAATTATGAGTTATGTAATTTATTCATAGTAAAACAATTTGACTTGATTTCACTTGATAAGTGCACTATCAACAGCTTACTAGAACCAAGTCTAAATGGATGAAACTTTAACATGTAATTTCAAGACACTTGATCAATGAAGTTTCATGACTATTAACTGACTGACTGAGTTTGGTTTTACGCGGCTTTCAGCAATATTCCAGCAACATCAGGGCGGGGGACACCAGAAATCATGACTATTAACATCCCTGCATCAAATAATGACAAATCATGAATTATGTGTGAAGTATAAATTCTTTTGATTAATACAAATTTTTCACTTTTTTGCCTTTCCTGTCATGCTCGAAGTTGCATAAACTGACACAATGATTGGGGGGTAAAAAGCTTATACCAGACCAGACACAAATAGTTATTTTTAGGCACCAAAGAAAGTTGTCTTTATGTGGTTCCTAGTTAGCTTGATGCCCAGCATCCTGACTTCTGTCGCACCATGCAGGACCCATTATGGTAATAGAATTTGAGGTAAGATATGAGAGTCTGGTAGCCATGACGACACATCAACTTCAGATCTGTTTCTTGTGTTCCATCTGTCATATTATGCTCCTGAATATGAAGCATCCATTTCATCAAAACCAGATAATCCCTTATGAAGATGATGAAATATTAAATTAATGGGATATGAGCATCAGTCGGTGCATTAAACTGACTTGTATGATTATAGTATATGACTCAAATATAGGCCATGCTTGTGACTTTATTATGCAATGTTCAGGTTATTTAATCGTGGAGTATTCAAACTAGTATTTATTAATTGAAGAGAGGGACTTGAAGGCAAAGTAAGAACTTTTAAAATCAATAAAGTTGACTTAAAGAACAATTGTCTGGGAAGTTTTTGGGGCATTTTTTTTTCATTAAATGTTTTCCAGATCTGACAACTGTAATAAGTAGGAAATTAGAAAAGAAAAAATTCTAATTAAGCTTTTTTTTCAAAATTACCACAAAGTCAGAAAACTGACTGTTTTCAAGGAAGCCCCGACAACAGGATATTATTATATTATTACCTCAATACAACAGCATATTGGAATAATTGTTCAAGACCTTGGCAATTATGGCATTGTTAATTTATCAAATTTATCAAATCATCAACTCCTCATTACCATATGTTCACAACAAAGACAAAAAATATACTTGAACATGTATATATATTTTTTCTTTTGACCACTGACTCCAAGTTGTGAGAAAAACCAATCAGCCAATAAAGGACGAGATTCAAACTGACATGCAGCATTAATCAATATGGAAATCAGGAAGAAAGTCTGCTGACACAAGGACAGACATGATGGATGATCACTGGGGTGATAAAGTCTACCCTAAGCGTTGGAGGGCTTATTGTGCTGCATAGCAGTATTACAGGTATTTATCACTACAGCCAATCGCTGACTTGGTTGACACATGTCATCAGTTCCCAATTGGGCAGATCGATGCTCATGCTGTTGATCACTGGCTTGTCTGGTCCAGACTCGATTATTTACAGACCGCTGCCATATAGCTGGAATATTGCTGAGTGCGGCTTAAAACTAAACTCACTCACTACAGCCAGCAAACACCTGAACCAGACAAACGAGTAATTGACACCAGAGTAATGTTCCATACAGGTACGCCACAGGGTGGTGGGGTAGCCTAGTGGTTAAGTGTTCACTTGTCACGCCGAAAACCTGGGTTCAGTTCCCCACATGGGTACAATGTGTAGCCGAATTTTTATGTCCCCCGCCGTGATATTGCTGGAATACTGCTAAAACCAAAGTAAAACAATACTCACTCCAAAAGACCCATAGTTAACTACTAATCACATCACCCGAGTTAAACCCTTATGAGTGAGTGAGTTTGGTTTTACGCCGCTTTTAGCAATACTCCAGCAATATCACGGCGGGGGACACCAGAAATGAGCTTCACACAATGTACCCATGTGGGGATTCGAACCCGGGTCTTCGGCGTGACGAGTGACGCTTTAACCACTATGCTACCCCACCGCCCCCAAACCCTTATGAAGATCTTACACTATCGTTGATATTACACATGTATTTGAAGCATGTACAAGAGAAGCAACTACTGGTCATTATCATAACTACACAACATTCAGAATAGCTATGGATGAACCATAATATGAAGAAATCAATGACTTCCAATGACTATTTTCACCCTGAGTCTAAACAAGGACAATTTTAATTGAAGCAGTGTTGATACCGGAAACTTATTTATGGCAAGGAACCTGGAGGTAACAAGAAGGTTGTTGACGGTGAGACCTAGCTGTGACTTTCTTAAGGGCCACCCTATCAACATCCAGCAGAATTTGCAATCACTTAATCACTGATTCATCAAAAGAGGGGATTAAGGGCAGATCTGTCAAGCACTGAAACTACTGTACATAAAGCTTATGACAATGTAATCTCTTCAGGTGCCATACAGGGTGCTCCTGGTTTTCTGATAATTTTGCATCAGTCCAGTTCACAAACACAACTTGCTAATTAGACAGATACTCCTGAAATAGATGCAGATCCCACGTATCATCAGCTTCATCACAAGAAAAACACATCAAAAGTCAATAAATCATCCTCCTTAACATTTCAGATTTATTTATGATCTGAAAAACATATCTCACAGATGGAACTAATGCAATTTCTTTGCAGGAGTCGATTATTTTCTTGAAAGAAATATCCTTCTAATGTACTGATGTTAACTAATATTCCATTAAGGCATAGATGTACCATATGAACAGACTATGTTTGACAAATGGCCATGCTATATGACAAATGTACTCCATACAAGGATATATGAAGCATTGTTATTATGTGATTGAGCGTACATATATGATAACTGAACCATGTGACTATTACAGAGAGCCAATTAACATCTCTAATGACAGGTTATGGAAACTTCGGAACCAATTATTTGCTTAACTTGTCGAAGTCACTTTGTTTCCATGGCAACAGCATTTCTGCAATATCAAGTCTGTATGTTTCATTTCTGAGATAAAGACAAAAGAGCAACATGGTATCCTCATGTTACTCCAAGTCGAGACTAGGAACATACTGTTTCTTCATTCAGGACAGATCAATACTGACTGCCTTTCTCACCAACGAAATCAAATTCTTCTACACAATGCATCCAGGCTCATTGGAAAATGGAAGGGAAAAGACTTCATATAATTGTTCACAGCATCATCCAGTTTTACTGGCAATGTAATTAGCAATATGTAGTCATAATTATTCAGATGGCACCGAAATATGGTCTTGCTTGACAGATGGTCTTCATGTTGTCTGCAAGCCAACGCTTCTAATGTCTAGAAGAAGAATCGGTAAGCTGGTATTGAATTCTTGCCTGTT